AACTCAAAAGATAACTTCCAGCCTTCTATTTCATATGAATTGTCCTAAGATTGCCAGTGATTTCTCATAAGGAATAAATTTAGATGCTACATTTCATTTTGTCCCTAAAAACATCTCTCTGACAACCAAAAGGAACTCCTAATTTTGCAAACATTGGTTCGGGGGTATTTTGAGAGTTAAAGTGGTTACTCAGTTATTTAGAATTTGGGCGATGAATGAAAGTGTGGAATTATAGAAAAGCATTCTTTGTGCTTTAGATATCCCTGCAGAGAAAGGGCTAATGATCAACTAAAAAGGTATTTGCGTCTGTGATATGACCTCTGCTCAAAATTCCGAACCGTCATCTCACCTTTCCACCCACTCTTCCTGTCTTCTTGGGTTCATCCCATTTTCTGTATGAAGCCACACTCATCCGAGCTGATGATCAAAAGCAGAGCTTACCAGCTGTGCTGGTCGAGTTTCCCCTGTGCCATCTTTTTATATGTGGACTCTTTCTCCTTAGGCACACTTCCTTGTACAGTCAAAGTTACTGAAACAAGGAGCATTTAGCAAGGCAAATAGGTTGTGAAATTTGTTTTAATGCTTTGATTCATGAGTGGCTTTTAGGAGCTTGGAGTTGAAGCTTTTTATTGGTGTTTACTCTGGTGCTCCAGGAGTGTATTGGTTAAGTGTTTAAGGAGAGGTCAAGCACACGGATTTAAGCATTACCTAGAGCTCCTTGTAAACCCGACTCATGCTTTCCAGCTAAAAATATCTGTTGTATTTTCTTTCATTGTTGTCATTGTATTTTCTTTATGGAAAGTAATTGTACCTACCCTGTAGGATTATTGTGAGATATATATATATATATATATATATATATATATATATATATCCATTTAATGCACTCAGCAGAATGCCTGGCTGTTACCTATTAGGAGAATACCACATATATGGTGCTCTCTGGACAAAAGTCTTAATTGAATCAATCTACTCAAGTTCCAGAGATGCAAATAACTTCTTTAGGAAAAGAGAGAGAAAGGTTCATCCTTTCTGAGAAATAAATATTTGGATGAATATTTGGAAGAGGTTGCTTATTATAAACACGCAAAAATGATATTTAAAGAGCAATAAGATATTAGAAAAATGGGTAAAGGAGGTGGTCATTATTGAGCAGGTCTGAATAAAATGGAAGATTCAAGAGAGTCAGACACAGAATCCAAATATTCATAGGAAGGTTTTTGGGGATGAATAATTTTCAGTGAAGTGGAAAGCACAGAATGAGGCAGAGAACAGAATCAGGGTAATAAGAAAAACTGATATTTTGTTTTGTTTTTGACTTGTTATGGGAAAGTGTTTTGTTTATTTTTTATCTTTTCAGTTTGAAGTAATTGGCAACAATTATGAAAAAAATGGGGTAAAAGGTAGGAAAAGTAAGAGGTGGTGAGTTAAGATTGGAAAATTGGATAACTGAAATCTGTATAATTTGGGATAAAAGCTTTCGAAGTCTAGTGTCCAGATAGTCTGCTTGCAACCAGCTCCCAGAGGGAGGTAGAATTGGTAATTAAACTACTTTTTACTTTAACTGCAAACGTCACAAATACCTATTTGGCTCTGAATTTATTAATAAAAATAGTTTCCATCCTTTCCTATCCTGATGAAACGACCTTTGATCCGTCATTTAACTTCTGTGCAAATATCACCACCCTGCTTAATGGAGATGTTTTGAAAGTGTTGAGTGTTTGGGGTGGAACTTACGTTAGGGGGGAAATGTCATAATGTTTAACTTTTATGGCTCTGTGAGAGCTTGGTTAGTTTCACTATCTACAGTCCACTCTCTGGGAGCAAATTGGGCACTTCGGGAATCTTACCACATTTTTTCAGGATACTTGACTCCTTCATTGTGTTGAAGAAAATAATTTACTACTAGTTCTTCAGAACATTTATACGTTGTATATGTGTGTTAGGTACTAAGCAGTTGTTTACTCCTGCAATTTTCATTCCAGTATTAAAGATGAGAAAACAGAGGTAGAAGGAGTAGTTATTTAACTAATGCTAGTCTCAAAAATGCCCATACTTGTTCACATTTTCAATGTAACCTAAAAGGGTACCATATTTTCCGGCGTATAAGACGACTTTTGAAAGGGAAAAAAAAGTCAACTGAAAATCGGGGGCAAAAGACCAAAATTGCACAAAAATTACCTGCAGATCTTGACGGCAAAGTAAATCTTTTCTTTGAAGTGGGGGGTAGTCTTATACAGCAAATATAGGCCTAAACCTATGTTTTAACTGTAAAATTAGGGGGGTCGTCTTTTACGCCGGAAAATACGTTATTTGAGATGTTAGGAAATGTCACAGTCAGTTTTTTATTTCTTTTCTTTTGTTTGTTTAAAGTATTACACAGGTCTACTTAATCCCTCACAGTCATTTTTAAGCTCAGAGCTGTGCTCAGCCTCCTGCACCTTATATAAGAATGAAAGTCTCTCTGAGCACCTCTAAGTCTGGGTGTTCATCTCAGATATTCATCCTGATTTTACCCCTGGACTTCATTATTACTGGTTATAGTAACAGGGCAGAAGAACATTATGTAGCTGAGAAGCATTCCAAATTAGAAATACCTGAAAGCAGGAATGACATCAGTTTCGATAACTTCATTTCCAAGGCATTGTTAAAACCATCAGGCCTTATTATAAAACTAGGCTAAGAAGCAGAACTTTATTTATAATCCAAATAATAACATATGGTGGAACAAACCTGTATAATAAAAGCCTAATATGCTAAGTATCCAACCATTCGTTTGACCATTTAACCAATTGCTATGCTGCGTACTGACCACCAGGGGGCAGATGCTTGACACAGGAGCTGCCACGATTTGCACAAATGGCACTGTGACCTGGTGTCCACAAAGCAACAATTCCCCCAAGTGGGACACAGGCCCCACCACCACCCCAGAGCAACAGCCCACCAAATTGCAGCCAACACTATCAAGAACCCATGGCACAAAATGTGGTCCACAGCCCAGCCTATGGCTGTGGGTACCAGGTAATGACATCATGTAGCAACACCAAGCTTCCTCTCCCTAGTGACTGACCTCCTTGCAGTTTCTTCAGCACAGGAACACAACTTGCTTTAAACATTTTACACTTTAACCAAAGGTCTGTGAAGCGTTTTCCCATGCCTCATCTCATTTGATCCTCACAAAAGTCCTGGAGTAGGTAGCTAGGAGACTCAGCAGAATTCTATTTTCTTTTCATTAGCTGGAAAAATGGAGATTTAGAAAGCTTAGAAACTTGACTCAACTGAAAAGAAGTAAGAAATGGTGGACCTTAAAAATGACTTTAGGTTTTTTTCTCACTATGCAGAATATAGTCAAACACTGCTGCAGTTAAATATTTTACCCTTTGTTCTCCCTGCTTGATCTACAATAATAATCTGCTTCATGTTGATATTCACTGCTGTGTTTCTGACAATTACCTGAAAGAGAAGTTGGGATGCTTCACTGGGCTGAAAAAAGTTTAGCTAAATCAGAAAGCAGGTCTAATTAAGCATATCTATAGGCTAAGTTGACACTCACATGCATGATACATATAAAGCTCTTGCTGGTGCCAATCTCACATGTGCTTTTTGATCTGCCATTATTGATTATGAATTTGGTTGACACTTCATTATAGAGAAAGGGTGAATAGCAATATTAAAATATTTCTTCTAATTAATTTCCTTTCAATGTGCATGAATTTGTGCACTGGGCCACTAGTCCGACATAATAAAAGCCGAATATGCTAAGTGTCCAACCGTTTGTTCAACCATTTGACCAGTAGCTATGATGCACACTGACCATCTGGAGCAGATGCTCCAACCAGTAGGTTAGCTTGCTCTTAGGGCCCAGCTGAATGGGACTGAGCAAGACCAGCCAGACATGCCATGGAGACCCCCCACGGTTCCTCCCTGGCCCCAATTGTGCACCAGTGGGGTCCCTCAGTCTGGCACCCTCTTACAATCTGGGATCCTTTAGGGGATATCAGAGTTTCAGCCCGATCCCCACAGGGGAAGCCAAGGGACCCCACCAATGCACAAATCTGTGCACCTGGCCTCTAGTGATTTATAAAAATGACAGCACATCATTTCAAAGTAGCTAAGGGCCTATTTTGACCTCAAAATGTCTATTAATATGGCTTATTAATAGACCAAAAAAGAGCTTCACAAAACAAAACAAAACAAAAAAACTAAAGGAGTTTATCACCACAAAACTAGTATTACATGAAATATTGAAGGGTATTCTTTAAGAAGAGGAAGAAGGAGAAGAGGAGGAGGAGGAGGAAAAGGAGAAGGAGGAGGAAGGAATAAAAAATATGAACAATAAAATGGCAATAAATACACATCTATCAATCTAAAAATCAAAATAAATGTACAATAAATCTAATGGTGAATGAAATAGAATCAGAGGCATGGAAACATGGAATAGATTGAGGAATCTCAGAGGAAAGAGAGAAGTGGGGGTGCGAGGAGATTAACCAAAAATCTTATATGTATATATGCATTACCTCTGAACACAGACAATAGGGTGGTGAGGCCTGTGGCAGGGTAGGAACTGGGTGGAGGGAGGCGGTGGGAGGAAAAAAGGGAGACATTTGTAATATTCTCAACAATAGAGATTTTAAAAGTTAATAAAATAATCCAGAAATCCCATAGCATAAGTGAGGTCTTCTGATCAGGGGAGAGTTTGGGCTCCTCCTGATGAGTTCCATCATGAGGATTTGTCTGCACGTGCTGGCTGATTAGGAGTCATCTTCCCTCGAAACCATTAAAAGGTCCTAGGAAACGTGTCTTGGGGGTACAGATGAATTATCTTCAAGGCAGAAAATTAGATGTTATATTGGATTTACAATGAGATAAACCATTGGCCCTTTAGTTTAAACACCCACCAGCTCTCCAAATCTATCATTACCGTGATCATTCACATTTTCCACTTATATTTAAACTGAGTTTCTTGGAATAAAGGTGTTGTCTGTTTTGTTTCTCAGGTTGTAGTTTCTCGATCGGGATCATCAACACCTCATGTGAATTTTCGCCTGGATTCCCACCCCGTGTCTCCAGAAATGATTATCAAGGACCCCTTAAACCAAAATGGCTACACACTGGTTGTCACCGGGAAGAAGGTAAGCCCTGTTCCCACACGGGGGCGCCAGGAATGCCGTCCTTCCTGAGTGGGTATCTATTGCCAGTGTCAGGAGGGCCTTTCTGACTTCTCCCTTTGTCTCTCTCGGATTCACCTCTTGAGTACTTCAGGGATCTTCTGAAATCAAGTTAAATTTCTATTTTAGGGAAGACAGCAGCTAAGGGAGATCCTCTTCATAATATATACGTTTCCTTTTCTCCCATATTTCTCAATGAGAGAAACAAACAGACTGAATTGGTATGACAGTCCCAAGGTAAGAGCGCCAGTACAAGCAGATTGATCCTAAAATGCATATTGGAATTTTCTGCCAAACAATAACCCGTTTTCTCTGAGAGGAGGAGGTGCGTCTTGATGCCGGAATGATATGTAAACATAGTTAGAATTTCCTGGGGGCTCAAGTGTGCTTTCCAGATGCTTAATTATGCTCTTGTTACTTTAAGCATTGTCTCACACAGAGCGAAATGTCTCTGCTAAATAGAACCTCTAGCATCGCATGGCAGTGTTGGTGTTCACTGGACATAATGTAGCTTCTATCACATACATGCCTGTAGGAGAGGGAAGAAAAGAATTTGATTTCTGTTACTCTCATCACACAATCATTATTGCGTGATTTGCACACGTAGGTGTTATCTCTAGCAGGCTCTGTAAAATTGTGTGTATGTTCGTTTTCATTGAACAAACCAGCACACTTTCTGGAAGCTCTATCTGTCGCTTTTCTCTGCAGATCACCAAGATCCCGCTGGAGGGCCTGGGCTGTGAGCACTTCCAGGCCTGCAGCCAGTGCCTCTCGGCCCCGCCCTTCGTGCAGTGTGGCTGGTGCCACGACAGATGTGCACGATCGAAGGAATGTGCCTCTGGCACATGGACCCAAGACCTCTGTCATCCCACGGTCTATGAGGTAGGAATCGCCGGCAGCTATCCTTATGCTTTTTGGTACACACAGATCCCACCAATAAAAAGGAATTCTAAAACCCAGTTTGCTCGCTGAGCTAGGAGACATCAGCCCAGGCACCATCTGCCCCCATGTTTTTTCTTCAGGGTGGCATTGGGGCACACCCCACCCCCCCAGAGTCCTGCACCTGAGCGCCTGCCTCACACTCACTGCTAGGTTTTCTCCTTGGGCGGTTGCTCTCCCTTGGTGCCATGTACATCAGCTCCCCGTTTCCTCACGCGGGGGCCTGTTGCCTTCTGACTCCCCCATCCTCAGAGTCCTCACCACCTACTTCATCTGCCAGGTGCCTAGATATGAGCCTCTACCGCACAGAGATCTGCTCAGGGCATAACCCGCAACCCTACACCGAGCCGCGCCAGCTAGAGAGCACGGCCATTCTGAGGCGGACAGGACAGGTTTCTTCCTGTCTGACTCCAGAGGTGGTGGCCTTGTCTCATCCCAGGTGAGATGAGAGGTCACTTCCCGGGCGAGAAGATGGTAACCTCCCAGGGGTGGCTGTGCACCTTCCCGCCGAGGTCCTGGCAGAGCCATCAGTGTGCGGCTGCTGACCTTAGTAAAATCTAGACTGTGCGAGCCGTTTCATTCTTTCATTTACTCCAAAAATATTTGAATGCATATTACATACTACACAACAGGCACGGTTTTAGCCACTGGGGAGACAGAGTCTCACACGAGATAAAAGTGCCTCCTGCTAGAGGATTTAGCTTCTAGCGGTGGACCTCAGCCAGGGCCTTGTAGCTGCCATCTTCTCTGCTGCCTTGGTTTCTTAAGTCTATATCTGGTGCTTTGAAAATCTCCCTGGCACTTTTTTAAAATGTCCTGATCCAAACACGTTTTGCTTGAAAACACTTCCCCAGTGAGGACCCGGTGTGTACACTCCCTGCAGTGTGAACAACAGTTGGACTTTAGTAAGTGGTCCTTGTGAAAGACTCAAGGTAAAGGTCTCAGTTGCCTGGTTCAAGCCCAAGTAAACAAAGAGCGCAAGTCAGAACTGGAGCTGCCCACAAGTGCGTGGCTGTTTTCATTTAGTTATGGTTTGGGACACGATTTGTATGGGGTGACTAAGGTTTAAACTAAATTACTTCCTGTTGGGTGTGATACAATTAATAAGACTTAGCTTGACCAGTCAGAGAATAAACTAGAAGATAGTGAGAGAGAAAAAAAACAACTATCTATTCTGTAGTATTTATGTATGCTTTTTTGTTGTTCTTTAATGTTCTTTAAAAAGTACATGTAATTTTATACTTTTTTAAAAACACACAGCCTTGGCAATTTGAGACACTAGAAAACTAAGCTCAACTATTCCATGAAAGAGATATGAGCAGTGTGATGTGTGTGTGTGTGTGTGTGTGTGTGTGTGTGTGGTGTGTGTTTAAGCGCACTCACAGTTAAATCATAACCATTTTATTTCAAAAATAGCCACACTGCTGTTATAAAGAGCAGGTTGAAATCCTGTACATGTAAAACACTTAATTTTGCCCAATGTGCTTCCTTTTATTCATCATGAAAGCCATATTAAAGTGGTTAAAAACAGGAAACATTTTAGAATTTTCTGGAACCAGAAAAATCTCTCCTCGTGGATGAGGATTTTTGTGCCCTCACTTTCCTTTTCCAACACTCTGGCTGGCAATTCCGCCTCGTGTGTGAGTCAGCGCGGCTTCAGCTGCATGGTTAGGAGGGGAGGAGGGCAGCTGAGCCCATAAATCCTTCTCGGTTCATAGCTGTTAGGGAGATTTCATGCTGCCCCAGAGCGTGACATCCAACATTCTTACTGCAACAAAAATAAGACAGATTATTCATCTTTTTCTTATCTGTCTTAAATTCTAGAGGCACAAAACCCAGCTAATGTATAGGATTTCACTTTCCAATAAATGTAAATTAACTTGCTTTTCAAGGTACACGATGTTCAGTGGCTGAAATCCTTGGCAGTTCCACGTGGACAGATTTCGGACTCAAAAGTGTTTCTAACCTATTGTCTGATCTCGTACTTAAAGAGCCATGGGACGTGCTTTAGAAAAGGAAGAGCCCTTTCCAGTATATTCTGAATTTGTTAGGATAAAGTTGTCACCGCTTGTAGGATTGAATCCAATCCCAGTGAGACAATAAAACAGTTTATTAATTGATCAGAAGATTCAGATAAGAAGCAGCAGCAATATCTTACGGGGGCAGGGGGTCAATACACCGCCATCAATATCTTTGTGACTTTTTTCCTTTTGAAGAGACGGTGTATAACTTTCCAAAGTTTGTTGTGGTTGTTTTTCTAGATGCCCCTCAGCTGGTTTCCCTTATTGTTCTATCTTACATTACTAATACATGGCAAATTTTAATTTTCCAAGGGATTTTTATTATTGTTCCTAGCTCTCTCGTGTCTTATCTTGGTGGGTTTTGAAAGCGTGACCATTTGAATCGTTTTCACTTGTGAGAGGAGGCTGGCTCCTTGTGTAGCTGCTTTTCCCCTGTTGAGACAGGTGGGAGACCCGGCCCCCGTGGCTGTATGCTGGACACTCATTTCCTCCCCACAGAGCCTCTGTGCCCTTCAGGAGAACTCGGAGTCTGCCAACCCATTGTTGGTTCTGCCCAGGGGTGGGTAGCCCAGCACCGCTTCCTTCCTTTCCCCTGGAAGCGTGAACATTACACCAGGAGCTAGGGGAAAGCCTCGGATGGCCCCTCTGGAGTAGTTCAGCCTGGAGAGGAAAGCTAAGGAGAGCTGCTCTTTCAAAACCTGTCTAGCCAAGTTTCTATCATATCCAATTCCATTGCACCCCTCGGTGGTTTTTCTCAAATCATCACCCACCCCCTTTGCCTTATATAGGAAGTCATGATGTATGGAGAGTGACAGGCTTCAGTTTTTACATAGAAAGGGGGGGACCCCGCGGCGGGGGCCCAGCCTTGGCAGCTGTTTTTTATGGGGAGGCCTCATTAAGAGGGAGCAGCAGCTGTGTGGCCGCCTCGGGCTGAGGAAAGTCCCGGAGGGTTAGGTGTCTTAGTCTCTCCTGCTGGATTTCTAACGTAATAATAAACAGATAGCTTTCTCCTAGCAGTTCTCATTTGGCTGGACACGGACAAGTTAAGTTTTCAAGGAAGGCACAACTATGCAATGGACTTTAATGGGTAAAATAGCTATCCTAAAGGCATTAAGCTGAAATGTTAAAGGGGGTTAGTAAACAAGGTAAGTAGAGAATTTGGTTTGCAATTCTTGTGTGGAAGGATAGGAACCTTTGCAAATTTGCATTCTGCTAAAAGCCCTTGTAAACGGTGAAGAATCGCTTTCAGATTTCCACTCACGGGCCTTAAACAAACACCGTTCTGAGTTGTCTCTGTAGTGGTGCTGTTTTCCCACTATTGTACTTTCCAGCACAATTTACAATATGACCCCCCAAAAGAGCATTTCCTTTCTCGATTGTCACAAAACTGCTGAGGAGAGACTTATTTTTAACTTGGAAATGTGTTTTTGTTTTAATCATTTTAGTCTAAGAACCATTATCTTATAGACTTCCTAAGAGCCTAATGCTATCTTATATTATAGTCACCAGAGTGTTTTGGTTTTTTTTGGTGTGTGTGTGTGTGTGTGTGTGTGTGTGTGTGTGTGTGTGTGTGTTCTGATATGAATCAGGAAAATCTCTCTTAGTCGTTTATTGGGGTGATATTGCTTAATAAGATCACATAGGTTCCAAGTTTACATTTCTATGGTACTCGATCTGTATATGGCATTGTTTGCCCAACAGCCAAAGTCAAATCATTTTTTCTCACCATATATTTGGCCCACTTTACCCTTTCATAACCTCCCCACCCCCTCTCTCTGGTAACCACATACTGTTGTCTGTGTCTATGAGTTTCAGTTTCATATCCCACATATGAGTAAAATCATATGGTTCTTAGCTTTGACTGACTTGTTTCACTTAGCATAATATTCTCAAGGTGTGTCCGTGTTGTTGCAAATGGCAGCATTTCATCTTTTCTTACGGCTGAGTAGTATTCACCCACACATGTCCACATCTTCTTTACCCAGTCCTTGATCAAAGAACACTTGGATTGTCTCCATGTCTCGGCCACTGCAGTGAACATAGGGGTGCACAATCTTTGGAAATAAATATTTTAGAGTTTTTCGGGTAGGTACCCAGAGGAGGAATAGCTGGGTCATGTGGTTAAATGTATTTATGAATGAATTCAACTTTACTTTTCACACACCTGCAAGAATAAAATGAACCTATTACTTATTTAACATTGGACAATGGGGCAGGAACAGTCCTAGCAATGAGATGTAGAATAATGCCAAGAGAGATCATCAGAAATAGTACTACAATGCAGATCACATCTGGGGCTCTCTCCAGTTGTTTTCATCTCTTCCTAATACAAATAATATATTGAATGTGTTAAATATTATATCATTTTTTAAAGGCTGAGTGTATCCACTAATCAACTAGCATAATTAGAGAAGTTGCAAATCAATAATAAATGTGAATTAACAGTAAAAGGAATAGATTCACTTATTCATACATTGCCACCTGGCTCATAGTGGATGACTTATAAAAATGGCAGATATGTATTGAATACCATCCATGGGTTTGATATTATGAAAGCTGCTGAATGCAACTGGAAGCACTGCATATCCAAAGAGGTATTTTTACTGGGTGCCTTTCTCCTCTGGGTGGGGAATATCATAGCAACCAGAATATCACACACAGACCAAGGCTTGGCTTCTAGGGCGCATGAAGGTATTTTGAGCAGTTCCATGGAGACCCCTGAAGGAGTAATAATCAGAGTGCCAAGCATAAGAGTCTGGGTCCAAAGTATGTCGTCTTTAGCCCCGAGGTTTCCTAGAAGGTGAATTCATTTCAGATTTTCCCCAGAAGGTCTTCATTCCCACCCAGGCTGAGTCTGCTCCCTGTACCCTCTTTGGATTGCCTGAAAACAACGTGTGCATTTGTTGTTTGTTTGTTTTGGGGGGTTTCTGTAATCCTCACCTGAGGACATGTTTCCATACATTTGAGAGAGGGAGGGAGGGAGAGGGAGAGGGAGAGGGAGAGGAAGAAAGAGATGAGAGAGAGAGAGAGAGAGAGAGAGAGAGAGAGAGAGAGAGAGAGAGAGAGAGAGAGAGAAGGGAGAAATATTGATCGGCTGCCCTAGGTATGTGCCCTGACAGGGAATCAAAGCTGCCACCTTTTTTGTGCATGGGATGAAGCTTCAATCAACTGAGCCACACCAACCAGAGCAGATCTCAGATGGTTATAATGTTCAGATACTCTGACATATGTGACCAACCATTATTTTGTTAAATATATTTTTATTGATTTCAGAGAGGAAGAGAGAGGGAGAGAGAGACAGAAACATGAATGATGAGAGAGAATCATCACCGATCAGCCACCTCCTGCACATCCTCCAAAGGGGACCCAGCCCATAACCCCGGCATGTGCTCCGACTGAGAATAGAACTGTGACCTCCCGGTTCATAGGTCGACACTCAACCACTGAGCCATGCCAGCATGGCTGACCATTATTTCCTTAATTAACATTAAATTTTTTAGGTAGCGGGAAAATGCAAGAATTTCAGACCATCTGAGCAAACATATTTTGTTTTCCACTCATATGGGGGTTTTAATTTCTCTGCTGTCCTTGCAGGTGTTCCCAACTAGTGCACCTCTGGAAGGAGGGACAACGCTGACCATCTGTGGCTGGGACTTCGGATTCAGGAAGAACAGTAAATTTGATGTGAAGAAAACCAGGATTCTCCTTGGAAATGAGAGCTGTACCTTGGCCCTAAGTGAGAGTACAACAAATATGTAAGGTTCTTAAAATACTTTGCTGGGGTGTGGTTGGAAAACAAGGTTTGTTTTTGAATGAATGCCTGTAAAAAAATGCCCCGAAAAATTTTATCTCTTAAGAGTCTTGGTCTATCACAGCCCTTTTGGATTTGTTTGTTATTGTTGTTGTTTTGTTTATCTTATTTACTGTCAGAATTAAGGAAGGAGAAAATTGACAGTATCTAGATGAAAAAAAAGAAGAATCCAGTGTTTGGGAGTTTTCAGCCGGTTTTGTAACAATTCTCCAGAAATTGTCTGGGTGGATTTGAAAGCACTGGTTGATTGGATTCACTCCATCTTTAAAGTTTTCAAATTCAGTATCCAATGTCTCTTTCTATAAAAACAAAAAAACAAAAAACAGCAAATAGCTCAATATGCACCCTCTCTTCTAAATTTACTTTATAACATCAGTGGTAGGAAAGCTGAATCACATTTTTGAGACTCTTTTTGACGAGTTTAAATTTACATTCAGCTGACATTTATTGGGATTGTAATGTAAGAGTGTATCTCATTTAGCCATTTCTAAATCCTGGGAGATAGCAATATCATTCCTATTTCACAAAGGTGATTCCTGAAACTGAGAAAGATCATTCAAACGGTAAGAGGTGATTTATAGGCCTTCAAGGTCAGCATTCCTGTCCACGGCCTGTGCTTGTTCTCTTCTACACGTACCTTCAACGAGATCTGAATCGCATAATGTACGAGAATTCAGACATTTTCAGTTATTGTACAGTAACAACCAAAAATGTACAATTTTATGGTTGAAACCTCGTCTATCAAGTGGTTATTTTATACCTAAGAGAAGGCCTTTAAGGATTACATAAAGGTCTAAATTTATTCATTTTACTGAGACTGATATATCCATTAATGTCATAGTTATTTAGCTAACAAATTAATTCTGGAAATTCACCTTGTAAATTCTTACTCATTGTATTATAAATTAGGACCTGTAAAAGTGAAACAATTCATTCTCTTCTTTAAAACTTATTTAATAAAACAAATTATATTTATAATCTTTCAGGGCTATAGGATTATTCAAAAATAATCCTATGGCCAAAACTGGTTTGGCTCAGTAGATAGAGTATTGGCCTGCGGACTGAAAGGTCTTCAATTTTGATTCCAGTCAGGGAATGTACCTTGATTGCAGGCACATCCCCAGTAGGGGGTGTGCAGAAAGCAGATGGTCGATGTTTCTCTCTCATCGATGTTTCTAACTTTCTAACCCTCTCCCTCTTTGTAAAAAGTCAATAAAATATATTTTAAAAAATAATAATAATAATAATAATAATCCTATGGAAAACCTATCACAGTTTTATCATGTTTTAAGTGATTTAAATAAACACATGTAGTCACAGAACTGTACCTGTTGGCACTCTTCAATGAAGAGATTTGGCCTATTTATCATTAGCCATTGTTATGCTATTGAAATAATATTTGTTAAGTATGCCAAACATGTTGCCTACAATTTTATAGGCTGAGACTTAGATTTTTTATGAATAAATTTGTGAATTCTGCATTGATAAGGTTTAACAAATATGTGAGCTGACTACTCTGCTTGCTAATCAGAATAGTCAGCTCACACATTCATGTCCTTTCATATGAAACAGCCAAATCAGAAAATGCCTCCTTTGGACATGTAACATATTAAACTCTTCGAGGTTATTTTTTTCCCAGGTTAAAATGCACAGTTGGTCCTGCAATGAATGAGCATTTCAATATGTCCATAATTATTTCAAATGGTCGAGGGACGGTGCAATACAGTACATTTGCTTACGTGGTAAGTTTATTACTTTTCGCATGATGTAGGATATTTAATTGTTAATCTTCTTAGACTTATAAAACTAACAAGTTACATTGCTTTTTTCTTCTTATCTCTCATCAGGATCCTATAATAACAAGTATTTCCCCAAGTTATGGTCCTAAGACTGGTGGCACTTTACTTACTTTAACTGGAAAATACCTTAACAGTGGGAATTCTAGACACGTTTCAATTGGTGGAAAAACCTGTACTTTAAAAAGGTGTGGTAAATCTGTTTTTTGTTGCATCGGTCATGTAGGATTAATATCTACATCTAACAATTTAGGGGAAAATTATTTTATGGGAAAAATCTAAGATACTTATCATTCACTCCCCTGCTGATAAAACTCCTTCCTTCCCAACTTCATCTACTCCCTTTCACTCAGTTTTATATCCTTCCCTTATAGTTTAATTCCACTTTTAAGTTTTCTATTCATGTTCTCTCCTGTTTTATCTTAGTATCCTAGCTTTGCTATGAATTATGAGATTCTAATAATTGACAATAAAATACAATAAATATTCCCATTGAGATTTACGATTAGACTCACTTTGGAGAAAGGTGAGAAACATGGGGGAGTTTGGGTTGGAGAGAAGTTATATTTTTGCTTCTTAGGGTTGAAGTAATCAAATACCAACTACCAAAAAGGATACCTTAATAATTAGTTAAAATCCTAAAATTTTGAAGTTTAGGCTTGCTCAAACAAGACTAAATTTGAAATCTAATCAAATATAAACAGCCTACATTAGAAAGATCTTTTATTTAGATCACATCAGGAAATTCCTATTTAGGAGTCATTGAGTGATATCCTTTTGATTTATGGATATAATTTTCCAATGTGTTTATCTTTAATAGCTAAAGTTTGTTTTCTTTATTTTGTGTGTGTATGTGTTTTATACAGAGTGTCAGAGACCATTCTGGAATGTTATACTCCAGCCCAAAACTCTCCAACTGAGTTTCCTATTAAGTTGAAAATTGACCTGGCCAACAAAGAGATTGACAGCTTCAGTTACCAGGAAGATCCCATTGTCTATAAAATTCACCCAACAAAATCTTTTATTAGGTAAGAAAATTTTCTGATGGGTATAATACTAAGGAACATAAGCCTAGCCGGTGTTGCTCAGTGGTTGAATGTTGACCCATGAACCAGGAGATCACAGTTCATTTCCTGGTTGCGGGCTTGATTCGCAGTAGGGGACGTGCAGGAGGCAGCAGATCGATGAATCTCTCTCATCATTGATGTTTCTCTCTCTCCTTCCCTCTCTCTGGAGCCAATAAAAACATATTAAAAAAAAAAAAAAAAGGGAAGGGACATCAGAATGATTTGGCTATCGAGTAGTCAAGAGGAATTGTGGTTTTTTTCTTTGGATTCCTTTTGAAGGCTGCCTTTCCAATTCAGGAGTGGAAACTACATTCTTGTCCTGAATACAGTTTGACTTTGTTAATGCTAGCTCAAGCCAAGGAACATTTTGTCCTATTCTGTTACATTTTTTAATAGATCTCAGTAAAATGTACTTTTTATGTACTTATATTATGTACATGTCAATTCTGCACTAATCTTAGTGCTCAAAAGTGGAATCATCACTATTTCCCCCATTCTGCAGTGTAAGTTCTCCTGCCTGCTTTGCATACAGCTTTTCCCTATACTAGAGTTCCTTTGAATCAACATCTCATTCGACCCACTTCAGTCTGCCTCGTTTCCATTAATTCAGCACAATAACAATAGTTAAGTTCACGCTTGTTTTTTGTTGTTTATTTTCAGAGAGAGAAAAAATTATTTTGCATATTTGGTGAATAAAAAGACAAACGCATTTTCTTCACTTTATGAAATGTGAATTTTAAAAGTATTTTCAAGGTAAACAAATTGTTTCCAAAGAATGCTTACCACTGAATTTCCACTGGACTTAGGCTTTGGAAGCAACTTACAGTCACTGCGTGTGATTTAACTGAACTCTCTTCGAATACTTGGTAGGGAAACTCTCTCAGCGTTGCTGTTTGTCTGTTTTCTTTTGCCAGTGGCGGGAGCACCATCACAGGGGTTGGGAAAAACCTGAATTCAGTCAGTGTCCTGAGGATGGTAATCCACGTGCGTGAAGCAGGACGGAACTTCACGGTGGTAAGTCCTTTGAGTGATGGCTGTGCTTCAAGTTCTGCGTCTGGCCTCTATCATGGCTTTCACAGTTCATAGGACATTTCAGCTTGCCTTCAGTGTTTGCTAGTTACCTTCCTTGCAGTGTGGGCCAAATAGCATTTTCCACCCAACAACTAAAATCATATAGTCTTAGGCTAGCATTGAAACACACACACACACACACACACACACACACACACACACACACACACAATATCTACATACAAGGGATGATTACTCACTGGAGGCAGTGTCTTTAAAGACAGTCAGTACAAATACAAACGCTGTTATTTCCTGTCTTAGTGAGTTCAGGGTGCTATGGGTGCTGCAAAAAAAAAAAAAAAAAAAATACCATAGACTGGAAGGCCGACACAGCAAACATTTATTTCACAGTTCTGGAGGCCAGGAAGTTTAAGATCAAGGTGCTAGCACATGTGCGTGTCTGGTGAGGACACTCTTCCTCATGTGCTTAAGGCCACCTTCTCAGTGTGACCTCACAGGGGAGGTAGAGAGAAAGAGAAAGGGAGCGCTCTAGTCTTTTCTCACAAGGGCACTAATGAGGACTTCACCCTCATGACTTAATTACCTCCCAAAGGCCCTTCCAATACTGTCACGTTGTTCCCAACATTTGAATTAGGAGACACAAATATTCAGTTCATTGCATGTTCCTACCCCTCCTTTTTTTTTTTTTTTTTAATGCACCATAGAGCATCAACCCTTTTGCTCTAATAAAACCATGGGTAACATCTTCAATCTTGCAGTCTCATCCATTTCTTTCTAAGCAGCAGACACACATGTTTTCTTACAATCACTTCTTGCCACTTCTTGCCATTCTTCTTGGCCCTTTGTTAGAATGTTACCAAGTAATGAGAAAGAGCATTAGAATACATATGTCCTAGAGTATGTTTGTTATTTCTCCACCTTTCCTTCTTTTATTTGTAAAGCCAATCAAAAATTTAACTGAATGCCTCCTTAAAAGTGATGGACCCGTTTTTGTTCCAACAATTTATATAGGTCGCATTACCACGGTAATTTTAGTTTAGACCTAAAGGAGGTTGGAGTTACTTACAGACATTCCACATTTAGTTTAGACCTAAAGGAAGTTGGAGTTACTTACAGACATTCTCATATAAAATATCATCATCTAGTTGGGCTTGTGCACTCACTTAGCATGAAAATTCTGTGCCCCTTCTCAAGCAGGGTCTTGATTGGGCAGGTGATAGATTGAATTATAGCACTTTCTTTTAGATTGCCCATCCAATATTTTTTGAAAACTAAGGCCACAATGTTCTTTAATTACAAAAACCAATTTGGAGCTAAAAATGTCAAGTCAGATCACCAAACAATAAGGTCACCTCAAATGAAATTTTTCTTGACCTTCTCAATCAGCCACATTGCATCACCTCTAGAGAGTATTATTAAATTCTTATCATATTTCTGAGAGATTATGCTCCAGGGAGTCACCGAATGAAGAAGAGAGCTTTGAAACCAGTCCTCACACATGGCCACAAAGAATACCACTGCTATTAATTTAAGGGACACCAATTTTTCACAGCCAGATATAACATTATTACCCAAATAGGAGTAACAGTAACCTTCTTTGGTGTTGGCATGTGACTTTTTAAAGTAGAAATCTGTGAAATTATAAATTTATCTAATTTATACCAAGCCTGTTTTAAAATATAGCTAAATTTCCTTCCTTCTCCCTCACCAGCGTTTTCATAACAGGTAGAGCCCCGCTTAGCTTTCTTCATTCATTTGTAACCAAATATTTATTACAAACTTCCTATGTGTGTGACATAAGAATGGCATGTCCCAACAGTGGTAGAAGATAAAAATTCTGTTTACATATCTGGAAATGTGAGCTTCTGTTGTTTTATCCTCAAACGTATTCATAGTACAATAGAACTATGCATTAGAATTGGACAAGAATGAAAAATTTAATGAGTCTGTTTGACTATTGTTTGTGAAAACTACTTCATAAAGAGATGTATTCCTTCCATGTTCCCTCTGCTTATAGAATTTAAAGCTGACCATGATTAATTGAACTCATTCATTATTTAACAATTTAAACTTGTTGTAGGTCTGATCTATAATAATAAAAGTATAATATGCAAATCAACCAAAAGGCCAAAGAATGGAACAATTGTCCTGATGATCTTCCAGATGAAGCCAGGGCTGTGAGGTCCAAGCCCCTTGCACGGATTTTGTGCATCGGGCCTCTAGTTTAGACATATTGATCCAGCCACAATAACATTAAATCCAATAAACTCAAATGTTTAAAAATAAAAATACTAATAACCTACTCAACAAAATGTGTATTAATTTGTTTATGTACATTATGTCTCAAAAGCCAACCATTTATTGTATAGTTTTCAAATTTCTTGTTGTTATGTAGAGAATTATTGTGATAGCAGTAAAATTGTTCATTTCTATTTTTAGGATGATAGGGATAAATTGCTTTCAGCATTATAATATGAATTTAAGATTAAATTAGATTATTTTATTTATAATATAGTTATCTGTTTTCTATACTTACAGCATACACTTTAAATATAGGATGATTTTTAAAATTATTTTTAAAAGAAAATATCACCTAATTTTGTTTGTGCTTTTTAAAAAATATGTTTTAATTGATTTCAGAGAAAAGAATGAATAGGGGGAGAGAGAAAGGGAGAGCGAGAGCAAGAGCGAGAGCGAGAGCGAGAGCGAGAGCGAGAGAGAGAGAGAGAGAGAGAGAGAGAGAGAGAAACATCAATGATGAGAGAGAATCATCCATAGGCTGCCTCCATGGCATGTGCCCTGACCAGGAATTGAATAGTGACCTGGTTCATGTGTCAACACTCAACCACTGAGCAACACTGGCCAAGCTTATTTGTGCTTTTTATGTATATCCTGAGTCCGTTTTCTGTTTTAGGCATAAGTAAGTAGTTTATCTCCAACTCTACTTATCAAAGGAAAATAAATCTAAGGGATGTTGTTACTTGTTTTCCCTTGGAGGGAAAAATCTCAACCATTTAACCTTTTTTTTTTAATATTTATTGATTGATTTTAAAGAGAGAGAGAAAGAGTGAAAACGTTGACTTGTTGTTTCACTTTTTTATGCATTCACCATTTGCATCCTGTATTTGCCCTGACTGGGGAGTGAACCTGCAACCCTGGCATATCTGGATGGCACTCTAACCAACTGAGCATTTAACCTTAGATGTGTCACTTCATGTTACTGATTTAGTCTAAGCACAATCAAGAGGAAACCACATTTTCCAATTCTCCATAAATCAGAACTCCAAAGGGGAAGATTTGAGATGAGAGATGAAAGGGCATGGAAAAATAATAGAAAAGCCTTTGTAAAATAGAGAGCATAGGAAAAGATTTACCAGCAAAGACTGTAGAGTGAGCAAGAAGCAGTGCATGTGTCATGGAAGGTAAGACAGTGAATTTGGAGACAGTGACCTACGATTTATGTTCCTTACACTGTCCAATGATGTCAGCTTAAAAAGCTGCTTCTTCATCCATAAAATGAGGGTGATCAGAGCACCTACCTCATAAGGTTATTGGGAGAATTATATGAGACCTACCTTGGAAGTATTTTGCACAGAACCTGGCACTCAGTAACTGATATCTTAAAAAACACTGGTAAAATGATCTAACTACATAGCTCATTGTAATGCCAAGCGTATGATGCTAAGCAGTTGACAAAGCACTTTACCACGTAGTATCACACATTGTTAACGACATTTTAATCTTACTTCCTAAGTGAGGAAACTGAGTTTCCAAGTAAGGATTTTGCCCTGATTCTCACAACTTGATTTAGAGCTGTGAGATACTGGCACAAAGTTCAACTCGCACTCTGTCGTGGCTGTTTCCTAAACAAGAAAACGGTCTTTCCGGGAGACTGTCCTTTTCTTCTTCAGAAAAATGAAGTGATGGAGGGTGAGCTAGTTTCAGATAGAGCAGCATAATTGATTTTGAGCAAGTAAAGCTCTGTATTTCTTTGAAGACTGCATTGCTTAGATAAATTAGTTTCTATTTTGTTTCCAAAAATGTGTTCTTCAACATTACAAAGTTAAATGCTGGTGTGTGGTGTTTTGTTTTGTTTTTCAAAAATTACATATTTCTTTTTTAATTATTGTTTTAGTTTTTCAGTTAGAGTTGACATACATTATTATATTAGTTTCAGGTGTATGACCCCAGTGATTAGACTTTGCATAAATTACTAAGCGATCATCCGATAAATCTCACACCCATCTGACACCATACATACTTATTAGAATATTATTGACTATCTTCCCTATGCTGTACCTTCCATCCCCATTACTATTCTGTAACAATCGATCTGTACTTCTTCATCCCTTTACCTTTTTCACACATCCCCCACCCCCTCTCCCATCTGGCAACCATCACAATGGTCTCTGTATCTCTAAGTCTGTTTCTGTTGTGTGTGTTCATTTATTTTGTTTTTAGATTCAATTATTAATATATATGTATGTGTTTTTCTTTTCTTTCTTTTTTTTTAAGAATACCCTTTAATATTTTATATAATACTAGTTTGGTAGTGATAAACTCATTTAGCTTTTTCTTTTCTGGGAAGTTCTATATCTTTCGAGTCTAAATGACAGCTTTGCTGGGTAGAGTAATCTTGATAAGTCCTTACTTTTCATCAATTTGATTATTTCTTGCCAATTCCTTCTGGACTGCAAAGTTTCTGTTGAGAAAACAGATGACAGTCTTATGGGAGCTCCCTTGTAGGGTACTAACTTCTTTTCTCTTGCTGCTTTTAAGATTCTCTCTTTATCTTTAACCTTTGGCATTTTAATTATGATGTCTCTTGGTGTGGGGCCTCTTTGCATTCCTCATGTTTTGGATTCTCTACATTTCTTGGGCTTGTATATCTATTTCCCTAACCAGGCAGGGAAGTTTACTATTATTATTTTTTCAAATAGGTTTTCAATATTTTGCGCTCTCTCTCTTCTTTTGGCACCCCAATGGTGCGACTATTGGTACTCCCAAATTGTCCCGGGAGTTCTTACACTATCCTCATTTTTTTTTCTTTTTGCTGTTTTGATTGGAGACGGGGGGTGGTTTTTGTTTGGTTTTTGTTTGTTTGGTTGTTTGTTTTTATTGTTGTTGGTTTTTTGGGTTTTTTGGGTTTTGTTTTTTTTTTTTGCTTCCTTATTTTCCAGATCTCTGATTTGATTCCTGGCTTCATCTATGTACTGTTAATTCCCTGTAAATTACTCTTCATTTCAATTAGTGTATCCTTCATTTCCGACTGGTCCTTTTTTATACTGTCGAGGTTCTCACTAAGTTCATTGAGCATCCTTAAAACCAGTATTTTGAAATCTTCATCTAGTAGAATGCTCGTCTCCATTTTGTTTAGATTTTTTTTCTTTCTGACTTTTAGTTCTGTTCTTTCATTTGGGGCATGTTTCTCTGTCTCCTTATTTTGGCAGCCTCCTATATTTGTTGCTAAGTATTAGGTAGAGCTGCTACATCTCCCAGGCTTGGTAGAGTGGCCTAATGTAGTAGGTGTTCTGTAGGGTCCAATGGCACATCTTCCCCAATCACTCAAGCTAAGCATTCAGGGTGCACCCCTTTCTCCACCCCTCCAACTCACCCAATGTTAGCACCCTCCTCTTGTATTATAGTTGAGCCTTGATTGCTGTTGGCATGTCAGTGGGGAGGGATTTGCTCCCAGGCTTCAGCCACTGACCTCCACCCATGGTGGAGGATGAACTGTTCAGAGGCCTACCCCACAGAGCAGGACTTACTTCAGTGGGGCTCTGGTGCCAGTTGAGTCCACCCCTTGAGTGTGCCACTTGTGGAGGCAGTTGGGTGGTGAGGCTTCAACCTGGACTGAAGCTGTCCACTAGATGCATTGGCTCTGGGGTCCCAAGATCAGCTGCACCTCTATCTGCCAGGGGCCACCCAGCATGAACTACAAAACTGTCTGCAGATGGCTGCTACTTGTGCTGGGTTGGGAGGTGCCCAGGTGAGTCCAAATATTACACCTTTCCATTGATTGCCTGACACTGTGAAATGTGAAAGTTGCTATTGATGTTGTCAAGTAGGTCCTTACTTTTCATCTGCTTATGAAAAGTTGCTATTGATATTCTGCTCACAGTGGGTAATTGTGTCTTACTATAGGCATGTCAACATCGCTCTAATTCCGAGATAATCTGCTGTACAACTCCTTCACTACAACAGCTGAATCTGCAACTCCCCCTGAAAACTAAAGCCTTTTTCATGTTAGATGGGATTCATTCCAAGTACTTCGATCTCATTTATGTACATAATCCTGTCTTTAAGCCTTTTGAAAGGCCAGTGATGATCTCAATAGGCAATGAAAATGTACTGGAAATTAAGGTAAGAAATGCTTAAAATATCCTCTTAAATCATCAACTAGCACTTAATTGATTTCATAGCTATGTGAATAGAATTGTTGTACTTGGTTGATCGTTATCTTATCTAAGCTCTGAAAAAATACATTTTTTTTGGCTTAAGACTAAAAGGTAAGTATAATATGAACTACTTTCTAATGAAGCATTTAACAACGCTTTTTTTGTGTTATGTTAAAAAGTAGCAAATGTGGGATACAAATCTATTAAATAGGCTGCCTGTGATACATTATCCTGTCAGTGTCCTGTGTGTATTTTCCCGGCCCCGAAATGAGCTCATCCATACTAATAAAAGGGTAATATGCTAATTAGATTGGATGACCTTCCAGGCAAAGCAAAGGTGGCGGGGCCAAGTCAGAGGTGGTTAGGGATGATCAGACTGGCAGGGGAGAGCAGTTTGGGTGACCAGGCCAGCAGGAGAGAGTAGTTAGAGCAGTTTGGGTGACCAGGCCAGCAGGAGAGAGGAGGATAAGACCAACAGGCAGGTGAGCGGTTAGGAGCCAGCAGTCCTGGATTGTGAGAGGAATGTCCGACTGCCAGTATAGGCCCAACTGCAGGATCAGGCCTAATCAGCAGTTGACATCTCCAAGGGGTCCCAGATTGGAGAGAGTTAAGGTAGGACTGAGGGACCCACCCCCACCCATGCACAAATTTAGTGCACTGGGCCTCTAGTTATAAGATAAAATTTAAGCTCCATGGGAATAAATGCACCAATTGTAGTTCTGTACATCCTTAAATGCTTGCAATTTTGTGTCTGGGAATAGTCATCTCTAATGTGAATTATAAATGGAGCTGGGTTTCCTCTACCTTAGGAATATATTAGCCTCTAACTATAAGGTAATTTGAGAATAATAGATTATCTTTTCTACTCCAGCCTGTGGCAAACAAAGAATAGTAAAGCCCAGAGACGTTGAGTGATTTGACAAGTGATGAAATAGTGACTAGAAGACAGCACTCATGTCACTTCAATCATTTTACTTCAAATAGTAATAAAACAGGCAAAATGATCAACATTTTAATTATCTATATAGCTTTTCACTAGAAACAACAAACTATCCTTCAACAAATTTTATTTAATATGCTTTTTAATGTACAGTAGGTCCTCTGGTTACGTCAGAGATCCATTTCTAAGGCGCAACATAACGCAATGTTTGCCCTAAGTCAGAACCCAACTATATAAGCACCTGTATCATCACATGGAGCACATACACAGCAGTAATGAAGTGAAACAGGAAAAAAAAATTAAAGATAACAATTCCTGACCTTTCCTTGTGGTAAATAAATAATAAAAAATATAAAGCACATATGTATGTACATGCGACGAAATGACAGAACTTTATTTTTAATAAATAAATGGAAGATGGCAATATAACCATAAAACAATGTATGTCAAGTCCGATGTAACCCGAGGACTGTCATATATATATTTTAATGTGTTTTTATTGATTTCAGAGAGAGGAAGGGAGAGGGGAATTGAACTCCCACCATCAAAGGACCAGAAATCGAACTGGTGACCTGGGCAGGGGATCGTGCTCAACCACCTGAGCCACCGTGGCCAGGCTCAACATGTTGTTTTTAGACAATCATATGTTTTCCCTAAAAGATAGCCTGGATGCAAATATGAACAAACACAAAATAATAGGATAGGACATTTCCTATTTAGGTACAAGTTCTCTTAAATCATCATACGTTTCAACTGAAACTTTTCTTCTTTTTTGACAAGATTTTCTCTCCAGCTAAACCCATGCACATGTTCATATTCATTCATACAAGTTTACTAACCTCGCAATTGTGTTTTGCGCAATAATTAAGCAAGCCCAGAATGAAATTAAACGGAGGCCTGCTTCAGTGAGCCACGTTTACCACAAGGCAGCTCTTTCATCTGCTTCATTAGTTTTATAAAGGGAGAAAAAGCTTTTATCTTTCTTTTTTTCTCAATTAAACTGACCTAGTGGGCCTTTTGCTTTTCAACAATTACAGTATTTGTCGTTTAAAAGATTCCATTTGGTTTTTCTTGATAAAAAAAAAAAAAGGTTTATTTGCAAATATTTTTATGCCCAGATAAACTCTATTTTTCCATTCCCGTGTCTATGATGGAAGGATTAGAGATAAATGCTTTCTTATCTGTTCGTCCAAGCACAATCTTCTATGAAGAAAACTTCTTTTTCTGTAAATTAAATACCCTTTTTTCAATGTCTTACAAAATTGTTGGACCAAGAAAAATATGATTTGACATCCTCCTCAGCCTTTTAAAGCTGTTCCCAACATGGCCCACAGGGTCTCTGGGAACAGGCACAAAACACTCTCTCCCTTTGCTCACATGCAGAATGCCTCTTTTCTCTCACAAGCACCTGCCATGTCAGAGTGGCAACCTGGGGGGAGGGGCCGCTTAGGGAGACCGCTTTGGTATCATGATTGAGGCTTTTCCCATTCATTTTCCTTACGAACAAGAGGAAATTTAAAGTATGAGAGAATATTTGTTTGACAGCAACTTAACCCTTTGTCCGTCTCTAAAGTTGATCACATTAAAACCTCGGCCTCTCTTAGGACAGAAACAAAGGCAAGCAAAGCATTAGCAAAGAAAAGACCACCTCCGGACAAGCAGTGGACTGTTTGTATCAAAAGAAAGGACAAATGAGCACGATTTTATTTAAAGTGCTTATTCAATTACCATCTAAAACCTAAGTGTGGAGTACCCCGGGGAGCATCCTGTGTACAGAATGGGATTTGCTCCTTTTTGTTGTCAGGAGGAGTCCCTGCTCCTCCAGCAGCCATGCACATGAGCATCCTTAGCTACAAAGAAAGAGACTGTGATGGGTTCACACCTGACCAGAGTTGGAGAGAAAAGGGAACGAGCATCATCCTGATATTATATATTGGGAGTAATTAGTTTTCACTTTAGAAAGGCCTTCGTTTTAACATTACAGTGAGAGGAAGACACTCTTATCTTTATATTCTCAGTAAAAAGAATGTATCTGACACACAATAGATGGTAAGGAGATACTGTATTGAATGGAATTTTATTTGCCTCATGACCAAGGCCTTTCTTGAGCCTTATTTCTCAGTGTGAAGCAGGAATGACAATAACAGCTACCTCGGGAAGATGTCTTTAGAGATAAAATGAGATCATTATACTTCTAAATTGCTATGTGTGTGTAGGGGAATAAAGACCAGAAAGTTTCTTCTACAGTATATTGCTTTATTTAAAGCTCATATACTGCCATTTCAGTGACTGAAAAACTGAACCAGTTTCATAAGTGTGTTCTTCTATTTAATCATAGGTAACCTATAGTAATAAAAGGTAATATGCTAATTAGACTGGATGTCATTCTGGATGTCCTTCCTGACAAAACTGGGGCTGGAGGGAAGCCAGCCCAGGACCCGGGTGCCTGAGGGTGGCTGGAGGAAAGCAGCCTGGGTCCTGGGTGCTGGAGGGAAGCCGGTGTTGGCAGTTGGAGGAAGGAAGGCCTACTCTTGCACAAATTTTTGTGCATCGGGCCTCTAGTGTTAAATAATGAAAAAGTAAATGATAAAACTTCTTAAAATGTACCTTTTCCCCACAGCTCCATAAAGCTATGTTTGTTTTAAACGATAAAAAGTAGCCTACCCGAAACCGGTTTGGCTCAGTGGATAGAGTGTCCAGGTTCAATTCCGGTCAAGGGCATGTACCTTGGTTGCGGACACATCCCCAATAGGGGTGTGCAAGAGGCAGCTGATAGATAATTGTCTCTCATCGATGTTTCTAACTCTCTATTCCTCTCTCTTCCTTTCTGTAAAAAATCAATAATATATATATTATTAAAAATATATTAATAAATATATATATATATATATATATATATATATTTTTTTTTTAAGGGTAAGAGGTCCTTCTTTAAAAAAAAAAAATAGCCTACAACTATTCCTGGTTTTTTCTGACACAGGCCCCTCTGCTATAAAGTAGTGGGCTGCCAGGATCACTCTGGTGACATCTTGGATTATAGACCTTTAAGGTAATCACTGAACATACAAAGCTAATAGTGATGTCTCACGTAAGTCACTGCTTATCCTGTGTTCCGTGGCAGGCACAGATGAAAAGGGGTTCCGTTGTGTGGCTGTGTGATCTCTTTTTGTTTTAGAGAAGCCTTTATGCAACAGCCAAGGAGGCCCTGAGCCTAATGGGAGAATGGGGAATGTAAATGCAGTGTGTTCCTCCCTCCCCCGGCTGCTGGTATTCTCTAAGCAAGCAAGACACATTTTAGTCATTCTCTCATCAATCAAGTCCTCCAACTCTTTCATCTTTTTTTTTATCATTCCCTGAGTCCCCTCCAATATGCAAGTGCCTTTAGCCCTCCTCAGCCTAACCAACAAGTTGTCATGTGGAGCCCCTGAGTGACTTATTAGATTTGTGTGCTTCTATGTTGAGTTGCCCCATGTGGCTGGCCTGGTTCAATGGAGTACACATAGTGCACCTAGAAATAGTATGAAGATAGAGTTTGCTTGTCTCTCTTTTTTCTTAAACTCCAGGTTCATGTTAGAAAGAAGTATTTTCTTACCACCTCTTTTCCTAAAGTAATATCTGACCTACCAGTCTGTGAGGATCCATAGGAGACACTGTAGCCGTTTGCTAGGGATTAAAGGTAATGAAAAGCAGAGCAGCATTTGCTGCAGCTCTGCTGGCTGCTCTTTGTCCCTAGGAAAAGTAGTAATGTGTTTTGATATACCTGTCTCCCAAGTAATGGCTTTTTAATAAATAACTGTGCTCATTAATTGTGGGGGTGAGAGATCACCCCTCTGTTTTCACTTCTTTCCCATGCTCATGGTGGTTTCTTCAAAAAACGTTAATATCTTATAAATGCCTGGTGGCAACTTCAGTTAGCTAAATATGTCAGATTGAACAATCTTTTAAATCCTCACTAAATACACTGAGTGGCCAGATTATTATGATCTCTGAATGCATAATAATCTGGCCCCTCAGTGTATTCAGTGCGTATATATATATATATATATATATATATATATATATATATATTTTAGAGGCCCAGTGCAATGAATTCGTGCATGGGTAGGGTCCGGCCAGCCTGGCCAGGGGGAGGAGACATGGGTGGTTGGGCGGCCTGCTGGTCAAACTCCTGGTCGAGGGAACAATTTGCATATTAGCTTTTCATTATATAGTATATACACTGAGTGGTCAGATTATTATGCATTCAGAGATCATAATAATCTGGACACTCGGTGTATTCAGTATATATATATATATATATATATATATATATTTTTTTTTTTTTTTTTTTTTTTTTAGAGGCCTGGTGCATGAATTCGTGCATGGATAGGGTCCAGCCAACCTGACCACGGGTAGGGGACATGGGAAGTTGGCTGGCCTGCCTACTGGTGGAACTCCTGGTCGAGGGAACAATTTACATATTAGCCTTTTATTATATATGATGATATACACTGAATGGCCAGATCATTATGCATTCAGAGATCATAATAATCTGGCCACTCAGTGTATATAATTAATTGTTTAAAATAATGTAGCCAGGCTCTCAAATCATAATGAGGGTCACATGGCACCTTAGAGGAATTCCTTTAACAATAAATTCACTCTGTATAGGATTTAACTGTGCGAGAAGGATGAAAGGAAACTGCCCAACTCAAGGATGCCAGGAATGTATTAACAGATGAGTTAAATCAGAGTCCCTCGATGCACCAGTATTTTATAAAATGCTCATTGTGATTCTAAAGGTGAAGCCCACGTTGAGTTTTCCCTGCATTAGGCAGCACAACAGCTAAGACTCTGTCTTGCTTGCTTTTTGCCAGCCATCAATACCCCCTGGAAGCATGAATGGGGTGATTATGGCTAAGAGGTCACTAGATGTAAGGATGTGAACCAAAATTCTCTTTCCTTTTCTCTAACATCCAATTCGGTGGAAAGCTACATGCTGTGATTCCTAAACAATTCCTGCCCTCAATCCATCGTGCTTTCTTTCAGCCGCCCGGCATTCCCATGAGAGGAGGATTGCACACGGGGTTTCATGTGCTCTGGCGAACAGCGTGGCCTGTTGGCAGTGTATTTATGTTCCTCCACAATTGTGCGTGTTCCCTGCAGAACTGTGAAGTGTTAACAGCCTCTTTTCTTTCTTCCAGGGCAATGACATTGACCCTGAAGCAGTGCAAGGTGAAGTGTTAAAAGTTGGTAATAAGAGCTGTGAGAACATCCACTCTCATTCTGAAGCTGTTTTATGCACGGTCCCCAATGACCTGCTGAAGCTGAACAGCGAGCTAAATATAGAGGTGGGATCCCTGCATTCCTCTCCTGATGTAAATAAAGATGCTGGTGCAATTATGTCACTCGCAAGCCTAAAATAAATCATTAAACTCATTTGTGTCTTAGCATTGGCTCATCAGCTCAGCCTTGATTCCTGGTTGTTATTTTAGAAATAGTGAGGTTTTTGTTGCTCTGTCTCCTTCCCAAGCCTGAGGGGGTAGCTCTCAAAAGTCCTTCCCGGCCACACTCGCTCTGCGTCATGCCATACTCTTGCCAAAATCTGGTCCAGGGATGAATACAGACATATCCAAGGTTGCCCCTGCCCCTACCTCTGACCACCCTGGGAAGCCAGATCCAACATGCTGTTGCCTTCCACAGAGATACCAAATGCATGGGCCGCATAAGCAAAAGAATATGTACAGTATGTATGCACTGGACAAAATAAAATAGAAATTAAACTATTTTTACAGTAACTTCTTCATGCAGACAGCTAAATTAATAACCTGGAATTAGAGTGAATTATTTTATTTTTTCATCTTTTTTTTTTCTTGAAGAGCTTTATTGAGATTAACTCACATACCATACAGTTCACACATTTAAACTGGTTTGGGGTAATTACATTATTAATATTTTAAACTTGTAGTAAAATATATATAACAATTTTTGCCATTTAATCATTTTTAGTGCACAATTGAGTGGCATTAATTACATTCACACTATCGTCCATGTAACCACACCCCTAGCTAATGCTGAGATGTCTTTCATCACCCCAAAGAGAGCACTGGAACCAGTAAGCAGTACGTCACATCCCCTCCTCTTCCCTAGCCCATGGTAATCTCTAACCTACTTTCTGTCTTTAAAAATTTGCCTGTTCTAGATATTTCATATAAGTGAAATCATATATTATGTGTCCTTTGGTGTCTGGCTTATTTTAAATATATTTTTATTGGTTTCAGAGAGGAAGGTAGGAGTGAGAGAGACAAAAACATCAATGATGAGAGAGAATCATTGATTGGCTGCCTCCTGCATACCCCCTACTGGGATCAAGGCAGCAACCCAGACATATACCCTTGCCCAGAATCTGGGACCCTTCAGACTGCAGGCCAATGCTCTATCCACTGACCCAAACTGGCTAGGGCTCTGGCTTATTTTATTAGTATGTCTTCAAATTCATCCATGTTATAGCATGTGCCAGAACTTCATTACTTTTTAAGGCTGAATATTCCATTGTATGGATATACCAGGCTGAATATTCAGTTGTATACCACATTTTGTTTATCCAAGAATGAGTGCTTTGTAAAGGGTTTCTGAAATCTTCTAAAAAGTTATGAAATGGAAAACTACCAAAAAAAATAGAAAATTAAGGCTGAATTATGAGATCATAGTTTAGAATTTAGAAGGACCATAAATCCTAAAAATTATACAATGTTAGAGATGGAAGGGACCTCAAAGATTTCCTCTATGTATCCAAACTGATATTAAAACATTTTAAGGCTTTATTGTCCCATAATAATGATTATTGTATTTACTCCTTAGGGTAAGTGTCCTTTGCCTTCTTCCCACCCTGTAGGACAGAATTAATATCCTATTGTCTCTGTTTCTTACTATTTATTTATATATGTGGGATATATCACATTGTATTATAATCATCTGTTTATGTGTTTATCTCCCTTTTATGTCTCAGTTACTTGAGATCAAAGATTGTTTGTACTTACTTTTTTATTCCTAATACCTAGTTACAGGTACAAACAGCTAAATATTATATAATATAAGTAACTCAGAGATTATTAGCCCTTACCTATTAAAACACTGAAGCAAAATTGAGGAATGTCTTGTTACTCGGAAGGCAATCATGCCAGTTATGGAACAGTAATAACCAGGTGTTACCTGGGGCCACAGAGTCTGTGCTTCTACCTGTGTGGTGTATTTTATAGCTATTGAAAATAGCCAGCTAAATATGGCTCTCCTTTGTCATTTTTAGTGGAAGCAAGCAGTTTCTTCAACTGTCCTTGGAAAAGTGATCGTTCAACCAGATCAGAATTTCACGGGATTGATTGTTGGTGGCGTCACAATATCAACAATACTCTTATTATTACTTGGGCTTTTCCTGTGGCTGAAAAGGAGGAAGCACATTAAAGGTACATTTTTAAAAATTGTTTATTTTAAGGAATTACTTTAAGAATGCAATCATTACAGTTTAAAATTGTAAATTCATGTGTGCGATTGTATATGCAATCCATAAAGCCTGTGGATTCTTATCTGTCAGTCAAGGTCTGCTGTGACCCATGGTAGCCAAGTCTTAAAGAGCTCTTTCTCTCTCTCCGTTTTAAGATCTGGACAGTGATTTAGTTCGCTATGATCCAAGAGTACACACTCCTCATTTGGATAGGCTTGTAAGTGCCCGAAGTGTGAGCCCAACTACGGAAATGGTTTCAAATGAATCTGTAGACTACCGAGCTACTTTTCCGGAAGGTATGTTCCAGTTTATTGTTCTGAGAAATGCCTCAAATACACCTCAGTGAGTTTGTGGCATTGTTGTTTATTTGGGGGTTTGCCTTTATGTTTTTATAAAAACACTAGAGTTCCAGTGCACAAAATTCGTGCATTGTGGGGAGGGGGTCCCTCAGCCCAGCCTGCACCCTCTCCAATCTGGGACCCCCTCCCCCAGGGGATGTCCAACTGCTGGTTTAGGCCAGATCCTACCAGGCCTAAACCGGTAGTGGGATACCCCTCTCACAACTTGGGACCACTGGCTCCTAACCGCTCACCTACTTGCCTGCCGGCCTTATCACCCCCTAACCGCCTTCCCCTGGCCAGCCTGATCGCCCCTAACTGCCTCTGCTTTGGTCTCCACCACCATGGATTTGTTCGGAAGGATCTCCAGGTGTCTGCTCTAATTATCGTATTACCCTTTTATTTGTATAAATAAAAGAAATATTTATTTCTTTTTTTGGCCAAGAAAGTATTTAATTTGACATAGAATTACTGGGCTTTTATTTTTTAATGTACTCGTATATACATTATATTAAATTTTCAGTCATTTTCTTTTCACAAAAAGGTTAATTTTTATATTTCAAGTAAAGTTCACATTCAATATTATGTCAGTTTTAGGTGTACAGCATAGTGGTCAGATAATTATATACCTTATGAAGGGATCCTCCCAATAAATCTAATACTCACCTGACACTATATAGCTATTACAATATAACTGACTATATTCCCTATGACTATATTTTACATCCCCATGACTATTTTCATAACTTCCAACTTGTACTTTTTAATCTGTAAGAAGATTAATTTTAAAATCATTTGAGTAAAGGTCAGGTGTTTATTATCTCAGTGCAATGTTAAGAAATTGTGAGGTGCTCTTTAACAACACAGAAAAGGATAAAATACAAAGTTTATATTTATTTATTTTTATGTTAATTTAGATATAATTTGGCACTGCTATATTTTTTAGCTCAAAATGTTGATCCTCAAACATTTAAATTATAACTTAGTACTCCTTTGAAGGATTCTCAGTGGATTGCTGGTACACAGCCTTTTACTCACAGCACTCCAGGACTTCAATATATTCTTTAGTCTTATTCAATAAAAACCTTCATGCATGTGATTTAAACAGGAGGGGTTAGCATCTTCTGCTTTGCAAAATACTAAGCTTAATATTGGTTAGGTTAACCCGCACATTTCACAATGTTTTATTTAAAATCTCTTGGTAAAAAAAGCAAAATGTCTGTATTGTATCTGCTCCATTACCTTTAGAAGTTACAGGATATGAGTCAAATACAAGAATTTCCCTGGTTGAATATTTACCATTGGACAAATAAAATGAGTCACAGACAGTTGTGGATACAGGAAAAGTTAGAGGTTCCTCCAAACAAGTACAATAGCAATAAGGCAGTTAACACTTTAATTTAAACCTTACTCTCTCTTATATTTTGAAGTTTATATTAGCTCTATAGAGATACACATAAATATTGCCTTTGCCTACCTGATTCCATTTGCCCTTAAAAAAATCCATGTCCAGCCGAAACCAGTTTGGCTCAGTGGATAGAGAGTCAGCCTTTGGACTGAAAGGTCCCAGGTTCAATTCCGGTCAAGGGCATGTACCTGGGTTGCAGACACATCCCCAGTAGGAGGTGTGCAAGAGGCAGTTAATCAATGATTCTCTCTCATCGATGTTTCTAACTCTCTATCCATCTCCTTTTCTCTCTGTAAAAAATCAATAAAATATATTTAATTTTAGAAAAATCCATGTCCTGCCCCGGCCAGTGTGGCTCAGTTGGTTGGGCATCATCCCGTGTACCTGGTGGTTCCCAGTCAGGGCATGTGCAGGAGGCAGCCATTCCATATTACACTCACACATCAATGTTTCTCTCTTTCTCTCTCTCTCTCTCTCTCTCTCTCTCTCTCTCTCTCTCTCTCTCTCCCTCCTCTCCCTTTCTTTCTCTCTAAATATAAATTTATTAAAAAAAATTTTATAAATGGCCTTAACAACATGGACAAATCAAATCCAGTTTATAGTTTTGCAATTTAGACCTTTTATTGTCTTACTAGTGGCCCAGTGCTCAGATTCATGCACATTGAAAGGAAATTAATTAGAAGAAAAATTTGTGCAGTAATTATGTTACTGTAAAAAATCACATGTCAAAATAGTATATATAATATAGTATTATAAAGTTAAAATACAAAATATTTTAGTATGTATCGTGCATGCGCGAATCAACATTTATTTTTAAATTGCCAATGTGCATCATATGTACCAGCCAGTAGGTCGGATGGACAGATGGATGAACACTTAGTCACTTAGCCTTTTATATATATAGATAGTATTATAAAATTAAAATACAAAATGTTTTAATATGTCTTGCGCATGTGCAAGTCAACATTTATTTTTAAATTGCCAGTACACGTTCATATGTACAGGCCAGATGGTCAGATGGACGATGGTCGGTCACTTAGCCTTTTATATTTAGATACTCACCTTTAATAGCTCTAATCTAAGATCATTAAAATTCACAAGTAATTTAAAAAATTAAAAGCTTAATCTTCTTTCAACTTCATTACTCACCAAACCTCTGTCAACATTGCTAAGAAGCTTGAGTTCCATCTTTCATCTTCTTTCCCACATTGAGCCTGCTCCCTGGAAACATGGAAAACTAAAACAGGCAGAAGGAGATCATCCAGAGAGAAAAAGGAAACACACAGCCAGCACCTTATGAAGAGGCAACTATAAAACTTTCCTCTATATCTTCACCAGTCTTTCATGCAGACCTAGTGTTCTTGGTGGCATTGCACCAGAATCACACATTAATGTTAAACTAGAAGCCCGATGCACAAGAGCCCTCAGGGGATGTCCGACTGATAGTTTAGGCCAGCTCCCCTGGAGAGCAGGCTTAAGCCATCAGTCGGACATCCTTAGCCCTGCTGTGGAGGCAAGAGAGGCTCCTGCCACTGCTGATGCATTTGCCAGCCATGAGCCCAGCTTCTGTCAGAGCAGTGCTCCCAGTGTGAGAGCACACTGACCACCAGGGGGCAGCTCCTGCATTGAGCATCTGCCCCCTGGTGGTCAGTGTGCATCATAGTGACCATTCGCTCAATTTGCATAGTAGCCTTTTATCATATAGGACTAGAGCCCCGGTGCACAAAATTTGTGCAAGGGGGTAATGGGGGGAGGTCGTCCCTCAGCCCAGCCAGCACCCTCTCCAATCTGGGACATCCCTTTCACAATCCAGGACTGCTGGCTCCCAACTGCTCGCCTGCCTGCCGTCCTGATTGCCCCTAACTGCTTCTGCCTGCAAGCCTGATCACCCCCTAACCACTCCCATGCCAGCCTGATTGATGTCTAACTGCTCCCCTGCCAGCCTGTTTGCCCCCAACTACCCTCTTCTGCCAGCCTGGTCACCCCTAACTGCCCTCCCCTGCAGGGCTGATCACCTTCAACTGCTCTCCCTTGCAGGCCTGTTCCCTCTCAACTGCCCTCCCTTGAAGGCCTGGTGCCTCCCAATTGCCCTCCCCTACTTGCCTGATCACCCATAACTGCCCTCTCTTGCAGGCCTGGTCCCTCCCAACTGCCCTCCTCTGCTGGCCATATTGTGTCCACATAGGGGCAGGATCTTTGACCACATGGGGGCAGCCATCTTGTGTGTTGGAGTGATGGTCAATCTGCATATTACTCTTTTTTTTTTATTGATTTTTTACATAGAGAAAGAGAGAGGGATAGAGAGAGTTAGAAACATCGATGAGAGAGAGTCATCGATCAGCTGCCTCTTGCACACTCCCCACTGGGGATGTGCCCACAATCAAGGTACATGCCCTTGACTGGAATCAAACCCGGGACCTTTCAGTCTGCAGACCAATGCTCTATCCACTGAACCAAACCGGTTTCAGCTGCATATTACTCTTTTATTAAATAGGATACTGACACAGTTCAATACCCTGTTTAGTTTATTTTCAGATACATTGCTGTAGATGTGATGCCCTCTCCCTGACATGTATGGATTCCCAATGGAAAGGGGAAAGCAGCTGTTGGCCTCTCTACCCTGTTTGGCATTAAGAAATTTATTCTCAACCCCCCACTCTCCCCATTCCTTACTCCTGAAATGAAAAGGCTTCCCTTGCAATAGAGAACCTTGCCTAAGTTTCTTAAAGGGCTTTGGTTGTAAAGTTCAAATTAATGGAATGCTGATTCCTTTCCAAGTTCCCTCAACCAAGCAATGACGATGGTACACTAACCCAATTCTAATTCTAATCAACCGTCTCTAAACAATGATAACACTGAATTTGCTGCCATAATCATTCAACAGAGAATTTACCACAAATGTAAAAAGCTGCAGTTCTAAAAATGTAGCCATTATATAATCTAAATATATGTATGTAAAATATTTCATACGCATATTTTTCCTTGGCCAGGAATCCATGCGGGTTTTGAGAAATATTAATTAACTCCATCAATAAACACTAGTCGCTCAAAAGGCAAGCTACTTGTGCAGCTTCCCATGTTTAAGAATATAGTATATTAAAAGTAAACCTCAAACAGGGCTTTTTATTATATATAGAAAGAGAAATGTAGAAGGAAATGAGAATAAACAAGATGTCAAAGTTAATGCTTAATCTATTATATGTAAAGAAAATTTATTAAAAACTTTATATGTATGCCAGCATCTTTTCCCAGCTTACCATTTTTATTAAACTAGTTCCTTTGTAAAGACTCTTCCTAGCCTCATTCAATGACAAAAAAACATCATTTCTTTCATTTTAAAATTCAGGGTTCATTATTTATTCCATTTTCTGCCCCTGTTATCATCCCCACAGTGAGGTCTTGCTATTGTTTTCTAATAATTCTACTCTATCTGGCAGATCACTATCCTAACTCATCTCAGAACGGATCATGCAGACAAGTGCAATATCCGCTGATGGACCTATCCCCCATCCTAACCGGTGGGGACTCTGATATATCCAGTCCATTACTGCAAGATGCTGTGCACATTGACCTCAGCGCTCTAAATCCAGAGCTGGTCCAGGCCGTCCAGCACGTAGTGATCGGGCCCAGCAACCTGATTGTGCATTTCAATGAAGTCATAGGAAGGGGTAAGTATTTCCACTCAGCTCTCTGTTGAACACAGTTTTCCAGCAAGCCTTTTATCTCCTGCCTTTGCAGATTAGGAATGTAGACAATGGTGAAAGCAGCTGACAGAGCGGTGATAACAAGTGCGCTTGATTTCTGTTCTGCAGAAAAACACGTCTGCAAATGGTATCCGTGGGGACTTGCCCCTGTTTCTGGAGGCCTTTTAATAGTCTCCCAAACATATTAGAAAAGAAATCACATTCCTTCCTCACCTTTTTCCTAATTAAACTATAATTTCTTACAAGATGCCATTTACTTCCTTCTGAAATGTCGTTTTTTCAGTTCCAGTATTTTCACTCATCTCCCTCCAGCCTTCCTTTACTCTGGAACAGGGACTGTGTGAGGTCCTTGTTTGTAAGAGTTACACTACTGGACAGACAGCATGAGAAGATGGGGAGTTTATAGCATTCTCCTGGCCTGACACATTACATATCACACCTACAATGCACTCCAGTTTCTTTATACAAGAAGGAGTATTTGTAGTAAGCCAGACAACACAGCACACCATCTTAAAGGAAATATTTACCAGGGAGAGGAACCAAGAAGAAGCCAGGAAATGAACTGCACTCTGCCCTTTTTCCTAAAAAGCTTTTGCCTTTGGCACGGAAGGGCCTCTGTCCCTTTTCTTCAGTCTGTGCTGCAGGAGGTGGCACGGGCACCTGCCAGCGTGGTGCAGAACACACCGACAGAACCACTTGCCTCCCAGGAGCACGGGGCTTCCCACTCTCCTGTGAGAGCACCCACACATTCCTCCTCCACACACTCCAGATTTTTTCCTGCTCCCCTTCCCAATAGTAGCCTCACTGTTAATAAACAGGTTTCACGTCAGTAATTTAGTGCTGTCACCAGCCTATAAATTCCAGTAATTGCACCAGTGTGTGTAGCCTCGCTAATTATGTCCTCGTTCTATGCGTTATAAAATTAGATTTTTTTTTAATCAGGAAAGGTGCTAAATGGCAATCATTGCTTTTAATGTAGTAATAATCATTAATGATTCTATAAATATTAACTGTTATTGATATGTGCTTCCCCAGTAGAACGTGAGCCCTTGAGATCATAGACTTTATTTTATTTTTTCATCTTTGCATCATAAGAGGGTAGACTAATGCCTGGCACTCACATAGGAGGCATTGGGGAGTCTTGGCCGGCTGCAGAAATTAATTAAGGGATGACTTACCCGGCTATCAGCCATTTGGCACCTCTGGGGAGAATTACTGCCCCTGGATAAAAGGCTACTGTTGGGAAGGTGAAGTGACTGAAGCCAGAGAGAACCGGGTGCAATGACTCAGAGTGAATTTGCTTCATTTGAGTAATTTCCTTTCCTTTTCAGCCAACCTGGGTGACACATTAACTGGTGACTAATGGGGGAAATCCTTACCCTATAATGCTGATCTTATTTCTAACGATACCATTTTTTATCTCATTTCAGTTTATTGGAATATAGAGAGCTTCTTTTATTTCTTCATGTAGGCAAAACTTTATTTTCATATTCAAAAGATGATATTTGATCCTTAAAATAATTTTAAAGTGTTTTACATAAAACAAAGTTTTTCTTGTGTTATTAATTATTGTATTATTTTCCATACAAACTACTCTAAGCCTACTTTTGTCCCACCCTGCTTTCACACACACACACAGCAATATTGTTCATCAGAAGTAGACAAAATAATGTAGTCTTTGGTCATGGACAAAAAAAGGAAATGAAGATCACAAAGTGCCTAGTGAGTAATTATTACATAGTTCAAAGTAATGCAGCACTGACCAATGGCCCTCTTTCATGTAGGTCATTTTGGGTGTGTATATCATGGGACTTTGTTGGACAACAATGACAAGAAAATCCATTGTGCTGTGAAATCCTTGAATAGTAAGTTACATTTTATTTCTTAATATGTTTGTATTGATTTCAGAGAGGGAGGGAGAGATAGAAACATCAATGATGAAAGAGTATCTGATGAGCTGCCTCCTGCACACCCCTTACTGCAACCTGGGCATGTGCTCTCACCAGGAATCGAACTGTGACCTACCATTTTATAGTCAGTGCTGAACCACTGAGCTACATGGGCTGAGCTGTTACTTTTATAATTTGCAAACTAATAGTTCATAATTAAATGTTGCTTTTCCCCTTGTGGAAAAATCAGCTACTTCTGGAATTATGGACCTATTGCTGAAAATTTGGTCTAAATTCCTATTGAGATATCTCCTCAGAAATTATCTGAGGGCTCTCATAAGTTAGAGTGTAGGAGAAATGAGTCTTGGATGAGCTGAGTATCTCTTAACTATGTTTGACTTATAATATTTATTTTGTAAGTGACATTCATGGAAACTATTGGAAGCATGTGGGCACATCCAAAAATAATGACTCATTTTACCCAGAGGCATTACTATAATTATTTGTTTAACCACAACCTCTACTAAAAAGGTTTTTTTTAATGAAATAAGACAAACAGGCAAAAAAAATATGTTGGCAGAAAATTGAAAAGTTGTAAATGTGGTAATATCTCACTTATCAGCATTTTTGGGGAATGAGATATTCCACGTAAACAAACTTTCTAAACAAGTGAAACTTACCCTGCTTTTAATGCCAGAATGTTGGTTTTTTTTTTAATTTTAGTCGTTACTGAGAAACTCTTTTTTAAATGGAATGCAAGTCAGTTTGAAAAACAGGCACTGCTCTCACGCATAAACTAAGACTTTACTGATGACCATAATTATGGCATAAATTACTGTTTTGTATAACCCAGTGTGCTCCTCATATTAGCATTTCCCTGGCTCCACCTTTACTGACAGATCTCACATGCCAAGTCCATGTGCTTGCCTTTTCTAAATTTCCAAATTTGTGCTTACAATTTGCTGCATCCAGAAAAATGTTAACCAGCTATCTCACAAATTTATATTGGAATAATAAGCTGAAATGCACAAGTTAAAGGTTCCTCTGCAAGATACATTATTGTCAGATCTCAGCCTTTTGGACATGTAAATCTTCATGCTAAGTAATGTTCTACATGGTTGATTTTGTTGGAAGTCTGATCACAGGGTCATTTAAGGAAAAGTTTATATAAAACCTAACTACACATTGGATGGATTATATATGATTTCCAATAAATTTGCCTCACAGGAGAGCACTACTGCCCACTGACAAAGAGCAATCCTGTCATCCAGGAATCTTTCTCTCTCCTGGTGTGCGCTGATCTCTTGGACTTTCTGGTTCCAGAATGCATTGTGTTTGTAAAAAAAATATATATATATATATCACCACTGAGACTGACATTAGTCAGATTAGTAAATTAAAGTTTGTTAATTTCTTGTAATGCTGACTCGTGTCAAGTAATCAGGATCTCTATCTGGAAATGGTTAGAAACTATTAGGGGAAAAAATCTGTTTAGATATATGACCACCATTGATCTTCAAATCCACCCAGTCCAGGGGTTGGAAAACTATGGACAGCCACCTGTTTTCCAAAATAAAGTTTATTGAGACTTAGACACCTTTTTTCTTGTGGCTGCTTCTGCACTGTGATGGCAGAGCTGAGCATTTGAAACCATATGACCCACGAAGCCAAACAAGATTTACTATCTGGCTCTACATAAAAATTGCCAGCCCCCGCCCTAAAGGTCACTGCAGAATGGACTGGCCAGCTTTCCTCTCCTTTTCTGTATCAGACAAACGGACTGCTAGCTAGACTCTAGCTTACAAAAATGGGTCAAGGTGATGACTTGACAGCACAGTGCAGGGCAACATCATTCACGCAGATGGATTGTTAAAAAATAAAAAACACTCTGAGGATAAGGCAGCGGGACAAGATAGAAACCTATGGTTTTATTTATTTTTAATCCTATGGTTTATATGCCATCGCTCTCCCTATCTGAACATGACAAAGTATTCTTTGTTCTGTAATGAAATCAATGTCTCCACCACTGGATTTCTCAGGGATCACTGACATAGGAGAAGTGTCCCAGTTTCTGACTGAGGGGATCATCATGAAAGACTTCAGCCATCCCAACGTGCTGTCACTCTTGGGAATCTGCCTTCGAAGTGAGGGGTCTCCGCTGGTGGTCCTGCCGTACATGAAACACGGAGATCTCCGGAACTTCATTAGAAATGAGACGCATGTAAGTACATTCCCTGGCTTACTAACCTGTAAACTAACTGGAAGCCAGCCAGTCTTTCAAAATGTGCCTGTGCTGAACCTTTTCAAAGCGCTCTAGCCAAAGAAGTGCACGTACAGTGTTAGCACCATGCCAATGGATGAGAGCTGGTTTGTTCACTTGTACCTGAAAATTCTCTATCCTAGAGGGAAGATTGTGATGCCTAGAAGGGTTTCCCCAGGGACAATGATTCTTAGCTTCCCTGCAAACAGCCTTGCTCCATCCCCCTGATAGGTACATTTAGTCATCTTTGAGGGCCTAATATGAGCCGGGAACAGCACAACACAGGAGACATAGAAGTGTAATTAGCCACAAGTCACATGGAGTGTTAGCAATGAAAAACATTGAAGAATTAATTACAAATGAGTCCCTTGCTATTCTTCAAAATGGCCAGTCACCCTCCTACCTCTGCACTTGCTGTGTTTCCTCTCCCTGAACCACTCTTCCCCAAAATATCCACACATCTCAACGTCAGCCTTTCGCTCTGATACCATCTTCAAAATGGGACTCTCCCGATCTTTCTAAAATTGCAACTGACCCAACCCAGCCCCCTGCCTGTCTCCTCTCTGCTGCTTTATTTTTCCTCATTGTGCTTATCATCTTCCTATGCACTAGGCCTGAGAGGTCCCGAGCTGTGACCATGAGCCACATGTGAAATATGGCCAGTCCCAATTGAGCTATGCTGTAGGTGTAGAATACATCCCAGGTTTTGAATATTTAGCATAAAAAAGTAAAATATTAATAATTATTTATATTAATTACATGTTGCAATGATATTTTGGATATGTTGGATTGAAAAATATAGTGTGAAAATTAATTTCATCTGTTTCTTTTTATTTTGTTAATGTGATGGCAGCCACAGAGCTGGAGAGAGCAGGAGGGAGGCTTGGGTTGTCCCCAGCAATGGAGGAAGCCAAGCTTTCTGCACATACTGGCCGGCCCAGGCCTCCACTCCAAGCTACAAAGTTTCAATTATAGAAGATACATAAATCCTAACAGAAATGGCTGCCACCACAGAGGGAGCAGAAGGCTTGACTCTGTTCCAGGCTACAAAGTTTCAATTGTAGAAGATAAATAAACCCCAGATATCAGGGCCTCTGCTTGGGTCACCAGGGGGCGTGGCCAGCCTACAAACCACCACAGGCCTCTCACCCAGGCCGCCCCAGGCCCCAAGGGAACCCCCCTCTGATCGTACACCAGTTGGCCCCCACTCGTACACCAGGCCTCTATCCTATCTAATAAAAGAGTAATATGCAGATTGACCATCACTCCAGCACACAAGATGGCTGCCTTCATGTGGTCAAAGATCCTGCCCCCATGTGGACACAAGATGGCCACCACAAGATGGCCAGCAGGGGAGGGCAGTTGGGAGGGACAAGGTCTTCAAGGGAGGGCAATTGGGGGTGATCAAGCCTGCAGGGGAGGGCAGTTAGGGATGACCAAGCTGAGAGGAGGGAAGTTGGGGGCAACCAGGCCTGCAGGGAAGGACAGTTGGAAGAGACCCAGGCCTGCAGGGGAGAGCAGTAGGGGAGACCAGGCCTGCAGGGGAGGGCAGTTAGGGGTGACCAGGTCAGCAAAGGAGGGCAGTTAGGGGCAATCAGGCTGGCAGGAGAGCAGTTAGGCATCAATCAGGCTAGCATGGGAGTGGTTACGGGGTGATCAGGCTGGCAGGCAGAAGCGGTTAGGGGCAATCAGGAAGGCAGGCAGGTGAGCAGTTGGGAGCCAGCTGTCCTGGATTGTGAAAGAGATATCCGACTGCCAGTTGCATGTCCCTCAAGGGGTCCCAGATTGAAGAGGGTACAGTCTGGGCCGAGGTGTCATGTCCCCCCACCCCCCCTCACCCCCCCACTCCCGTGCATGAATTTCGTGCATCAGGCCTCTAGTAGTTCTTATGGTTACAAAAGACATTCCCACTGCCCACACAGTGTTGTGGAGGGAGTTCCTAGAGAATGAGGTTCCTGTTCTCCGTGTGGGTCCAGGCCCCTGGAGCTGTGAGCCGTGCTTCAGCACATGTGGGAGGAGTTCTGATGGGAGTGACTTGGCTACAGTGTGGGCTCTGGAGCCTAAAAGATTAGTTTAAAATCCTAATTCCACCACTTACCATCTGAGTGGTGTGGGTGATTTATTTCTCTCTGAATTTCCTGTATTAACAGTGTATTTCCTTTTTTATTTTTTTTAATTTCAGAAAGGAAGGGAGAGGGAGAAAGGGATGGAGACATCAATGAGAGAGGATCATTTATTGGCTGCTTCCTGCACGACCCCTACTGGGGATTGAGTCCACAACCCAGGCATGTGCCCTTCATCAGAATTGAACCCAGGACCCTTCAGTCGGCAGGCTGACACCCTATCCACTGAGCCAAAGCAGCTAGGGCTAACCATGTATTTCTGAGGCTCTAACTTCTAGGGCCTCACTGCCCCTTCCCCCTAACACACACACACACACACACACACACACACACACACACACACACACAGTACTAGCAAATTCCCAGAGATGGTGAACAACTCACCTTCTCAGAGGTGAGCCGATCCAGAGCCCAAATCCCAACCACCTCCTTCACAGGCCTCTCACACACTAGGCCCTGTCGCTCTGCCCTGCTCACTTAAGGGCCAAGCACCAGACAACTAGGGACCGCGCCTATGCCCTGAGCCCCCACTGAAATTATTCCAGCTGCCCAAGTCCAAGCCTGCTTACCCTGCTTGCCCATTTCTTTCCACAGAAGCCGCAGTGAGGCCTCACCTGTCTCCTGGCCTCGCCTCGTGCTTCCCTGTGTGGGCTTGCCTGGCAGGGCAGGCCCCCGCCTCCTGTGGCTTAGAACAAACTCTCTTTTCCGCGGCGGTTGTCTCCCATCCCTGGGCTTCACCACACCTGATCAGTACAAAGCCCACGTTTCAAAACCCCTCCAGTTCTGCATCTGTAAAATGGAACCCCTGCCTTCCAGAAGTGCATGAGGATTAGCCCACATTTATAAACCATCTAGCCTGGTGCTTTGCAAACAGTAGGCACTTAATAAATGGCTGCTCTTATCAATCAACAGGGTGTTCTTATAAGCATTCCAGGATCCTGAGATCCTCGCTAGAACAGTAGATGCTTAGTTTATGAGTTTCCAATTCTCTTTGATTGCAGAACCCAACCGTAAAAGATCTTATTGGCTTTGGTCTTCAAGTAGCCAAAGGCATGAAATACCTCGCAAGCAAAAAGTTTGTCCACAGAGACTTGGCTGCAAGGAACTGTATGTAAGTATAAGAATCTCGGTGCCCGCCATCCACATTAAGCGAAAAGGAGGACTCTGTTTCCCCTGCTTTTCGAACAAAAGTCCTTGATTTCCGTTATAGTTTTAAATCCACATGTAAGCACTGGGGAGGTAGGAGGGGCCCTCAGTCTCTGTCAAATGGAGAATTTAAAAGAAAGGAATGCTCCAGAGGGGGTCTTAACAGCTGCTCTGTGCTTTCCTCCTTTTTCCTTTTCAAAAGTGTGGTTTCACACTGCATTAGTGTTGGGAGGTAGAATTTGATCTTCAGCCTTTTACAGCGAAAAGGAGAGAGCTGATGACACAAATACCAACATATTGTCACTTCCCAAGAGTGGGTTTGAAGTCAGCCTGCAGGAGTGTTATTTGGGAATGAATTCAAAGTTCATTTGTATCCGGCTGCCTGGGCTGTATAACACAGTAGTCAACAGTTTGTAATCGACCCAGTGCTTTCCCGTGCAGAGCGCTGATTCATGCCTTATAGTACATGTGAACGGGAGAGCTGTGCTGTTCATTTACTACCTTGGTTTTGGTCACTGTGATAACATAAAAGCCCGCTTAAACAAAGGGATGCACAGCCTCAGAGAGCAGAAATTGACTTTGTTCAAACTTGCTGTTTTTCTTAGATGCTTTACTATGTGTCCTATTTCTCTGTTACTTCAGTGGTGGGAAATATAAGTGCTATGTACTATCCTAGCCCATTTGAGAATGAAAAAGTAACATAAGAGGGCCTGGTCATGTCTCCCCTATACAACTAAAGGGTAATACGTGGACAAGTGATTACCGGCGATTACTTTGGTTCCTCAGTTGGCATGCTTGATTTAGCAACCAAGGACATCAGAAGGAGGGCCCAATTTTACTACTTCAGATCTACGAAAGCAAAACGAGTTTTCTTACATAACATCACAGGATCTCCTTCCTTAGCTCATTAAACTTGTAATGTGAATGTCAAGCATTTTTACTCAAGAATCCCATTGTAATATGGTGTTAGTCAGTTGAGGCTAGAATCGTCCCACCTGAAGTTACGGATTTGTGGGTTCCCAGCACAGAAGCCACATGTTCTGTAGACAATTCAGCATCACAATAAATGATTTTATTCCAGCCACCAGTAACAATATGTGTCCTTCCTGTAGGCTAGATGAAAAATTCACTGTCAAGGTTGCCGATTTTGGTCTTGCCAGAGACATGTATGATAAAGAATACTACAGTGTCCACAACAAGACAGGTGCCAAACTGCCGGTGAAGTGGATGGCTTTAGAAAGTCTACAGACTCAGAAGTTCACCACCAAGTCAGACGTGGTAACGTATTCCTGATCATTCCGGACCTTCTCCTCTTTTACTTCCATGCCCAAATTTTTCCCGTAGTTTTATGGCTACTTAATTTTTTTATTTTTTATTTTTTGTAAAGAAAAGCTTTTTACATCACTAATTTCATTTTTTTTTATAGGCAAAAGTGCTCAGTTATCTAATGCACTCATAGTGTGGCAAGGGAAATGGGGTATCCACCGGTGGAAATGGGGAATCACCTTCCCCACTGGGTGCTCAGGTTTGGGTCCTTTCCATAACTTGAAAAAAAGAACTTTCTGAGACTCACATGGGAGAAAGAGTGCTTTTTATTTGTGTGGAATTATAGCCCTCGGTTTCCAACATCGCGTTTTCCTTAATCAGTCCTGGAAAAGGAGCAGCTGGGGATTCAGCAGAGCTAGAAGCAAAGCCAGAGATCAGAGTCTCCACTCCATTGGTGAAACTGGGTCCGGTTTCACATCAGGCTGGTAGCATTCCCTCAGTCCATTGTGTCTGGTGTCCTAGACCAGTGGTCGGCATACTCATTAGCCAACAGAGCCAAATATCAACAGGACGATTGAAATTTCTTCTGAGAGCCAAATTTTCTAAACTTAAACTTCTTCTATCGCCACTTCTTCAAAATAGACTCGCCCAGGCTGTGGTATTTTGTGGAAGAGCCACACTCCAGGGGCCAAAAAGCCGCATATGACTCGCAAGCTATATTTTGCCAACCATGGTTCTAGGCCATGGGCCATGTGGGCAAATGCAGAAGCGTGAGAGCTCTGCAAGCCAGGAGTCAGGTGCAACACACCAAGGGGCAAGAGAAAGTACTCCTTTGCTTAGGACCTTAAGTATATCAAATCTGCTCCCTCTCCTGCTTGCTGCTCCCTACTAGTGCCCTGTTCCCAGGTGTGACTGACAAACACACACCTTCCCTATGACACCCAGCCTTTACTAGGCATGTGTCCATTTGGCCTTCTTTTGGTTCCTTTCCACTTAATTAATAACCAGGGTCATTGCAACCGTATCGATGGTATGTTTTTATAAACTCATTCATTCAAAAATATTTTTCTGGCAGATGCTAGATCCTTAGGAAGCCCAAAGCTGAACCAAGTGTGAACCCTGTCCTCCAGAAGCTTTAGCTCAGGGGGGAAGACAGGACATGTTCATCAAAACTCACACAAAGTAGACTAGGATTAGCCCAGCCACTCATAGCTTACAACTTCATGGCAGCAAGAATTCCACCTTGAGAGATTTGGAAGCTATGATGGAGGCAGGTCTAGCAATGAAGTCATTATTCCTGCACCTAGCTAGATACACACTCTCCTTTATTTGCAAAGGCCATCCTCCTCTCACAGAGCCAGCTTTGAAAGGCATGCGCCTGAATACTGACACTCAACTGGAGAGCCACATGCCCTTCCACCTGGAGGGAAGGACAGTGCTTGAAATGGTTACAAAAAAGAAAAAGTTCACCCACTTTGTGCTAGCAGAGCCAAGCACTAGACCCTGAGAACTGCAGTATAGAAATACTTGGCTATTTTATTATGAACTAGAGGCCTGGTGCACGATGTTCATGCATGCGTGGGGTCCTTGGGCCTGGCCAGCGATCATGGCCTATCAGATCTATCTCACCCAGTCCTGATCGGGTCCAGGTCATCCGAGGCCTACCAGATGGAGCCTCCAGGACTTGGGACAGGGGAGGTTACAGGAAAGGTTTGCTATGGGAGTGCACTGATTACCAGGGGTGGCTCCTGCATTGGGTGTCTGCCCCTTGTAGTCAGTGCACATCATAGTGACTGATCGACCAGTTGTTCCAGTCATTTGGTTATAACAGTCGCTTAGGCTTTTATATATAGCGATAGATGGTATCATCCAGGAGAACAGGAGCACATGCTCAAAAGCCGAGACTTGCTGATGGCATGTAGGTTACAGATTATATAGGGAAAATCTCAAGATACTGTGAGAGCTCGGGGTCATGCTGGAAGCTGATTGGTTGGAGATAAGGTAATGATAAAAAATCATTTCTTCAGGTCTTAAGGACAATTCTCAAGTCTGCTCCTGTGTCCCTCTGTCTGGATTCTTGAGAAAGTGGCCAGGAGGTGGTTCCTCCTTAGAGCCTAGGAACTGAAACACAATATAGGTGAAGAAGTTATCCTTAGCCTGCCAGGTCCAGACTTTGTGATCATCAGTCAGGTCCAGGCTATGGTCTTCTGCTGCTTCAGGGTTGCTGATTATCCAGGCAAAGGCTAGGTCTTTTAAGGGCATAGAAAGAGAAATAAATATGATCTCTAGAGCTAGGATTTAAAGCTAAATTTAATCAAAGTCATAAGGACCCTCAGTTTCAATCCTTCCCTTTCCCCTTCCCTCTTTTTTTTAATCATTTCTCAATCTTGAGGAAGAAGGGGGGAAGACCTTTCTGATTCCTTCCTGCTAACAGGGGTCAGAGTTCATGGTTAGAAGAATGAAATCATTTTACATTCCGTTGAAAATATTTTTTAGCTTCCAGATTCATAGTCTGTATGAGCATAATGTTTGCTTTTTCCCTGCTTTGTAGGTAGAAAACATCTCATCAGGAGCAGAACAATATATAAAAACTTTGTCATTTTTGATAGCATGAAAAAGAACCAAAGTCATGTAATACCTTAATCAATAAAGAAATTTAAACAAAACACACACACACACACACACAAATTCTAATTCTGGATTAGCTTATTGTGGCTACTTAAATTAACTTACTCTATTAAATCTAGTTTAATCATACTTAAAATTTTCTTTCTCAGGGTTCCTTTTCCACAAAACTTCTACAACTTTCCTAGTCCCTCTTAGTTTGTCTCTTCTTACTCAATTTGAAACAACCAACCTTTTTTTTTTTTAGGACAAATCACTTTCTACTAATTCCCTAAAAATGTATTTCCATGCTTAATGCCTTCCTTTCTAAAAACTCACATCATTTCCTTCCATATTAATTAAAATTTGTAACCCTTAGAACCTTAATTCTAAGGCAAAATGTTAAGTAATTGGCATTTTTTATTGGCAAATTTATTAATCTATTTCTTAACCTTTAGAAACATAGATTCTTTTACTGGCAAAGCACAAAATTTTTTTATTAACAGATCTAAATGTATCATTTAGTTTCTCTTTAATAAGAGGTCAATAGTAGGTAACCTTAGACTTATCTAACAGTTACTGTTTCAGTATTTTATGTTATTTGGAAATTTCTAGATATTCAATAATTTTTATTATTTAACTTCATAAAATTCTAAAGCTTCAAGTTACAAAGAGATTGAGAAAGCTATTTAAGTGCACATACAATACAAGGTGTGGGGAAAGGTAGTTTAGAGTTGCTTGTATGGAAAATAATATAATAATTAATAAATAATAGTACAAGAATAAACTCTGTATTTTGTGTACTCACAACTGTAAGCCTACTTTTGCTTCCACCCTGTATAATTATTGCTAAAGAGTTAACATAGCCCTAACTGGTTTGGCTCAGTGGATAGAGTGTTGGTCTGTGGACTGAAAGGTCCCAGGTTCGATTCAGGTCAAAGGCATGTACCTTGGTTGCGGGCACATCCCCAATAGGAGGTGTCCAGAAGGCAGCTGATCGATGTTTCTCTCTCATCAATGTTTCTAACTCTCTATCCCTCTCCCCTCCTCTCTGTAAAAAAAATAAATAAAATATATTTTTAAAAAAAGTTAACATAGCCGAGACTGGTTTGGCTCAATGGATAGAACGTCGGCTTGGGGACTGAAGGGTCCCGGGTTCGATTCCGGTCAAGGGCATGTACCTTGGTTGCGGGCACATCCCCAGTAGGGGGTGTGCAAGAGGCAGCTGATCGATGACTCTCTCTCATCAATGTTTCTAACTCTCTCTCTCTCTCTCTCCCTTCCTCTCTGTACAAAATCAATAAAATATATTTTAAAAAATAAAATAAAATAAAAAATAAAGAGTTAACATAAAAGAAACTTCTTATATCATTACACTTATTTAATTTGCTTGCCCCTAACAATTAAGTTTAGATTACTTATGAAAATTTTATTATACCCAGTTGGGTTTTTTGCTGACAAATTTTGCAACATAGATAACATGAACTTACTTGACTGATAAACCCAGGTGGAATAAAAGTATTACTTAATACTGATGATTTTAGCCCAGTCGGTGTGATTGAGCATTGACCTGTGAAGGAGGAGGACACAAGTGGAATTATGAGAATAAAATTGAGAAAAATATCTTCATACTATAATAGATCATAGCTGTCCTTGGAAAGCAAACGGGGGAGTCTGAACCATACAGTTATGTGACTACCAGCAGCACCATAACCAGGATGTAGAACAGGTGCCCCTTTGTGGTCAGCCCCTACTACCTGGGAACCACTGGCCCGTTTTCTGTGTCTATAGTTTTACCTTTTCCTAGAATGTCCTCAAGTCTGTTCTCCTTTCACTTCGCACAATGTGCTTAAGGGTCATTCATGTTATGTCAGTAGTATCAGTAGTTCACTTCCTTTTTTATTGTAAAAAAAAATACACAACAAAAAATCTATCATCTTTAAGTGTGCGGTACAATAATGTTAATTACATGCACATTACAGGATCTCTTCATCTTGTAAAACTGAAATTCTGTATCCTCTGGATAACTTCCCATTTTCCCTTCCCCCTACCCTCTTGGCAACCACCATTCTACTTTCTGTTCCTAAGTGTATGACTGCGTTAGGCACCTCATGTAAGTAGAACCATGTGTTATTTAGCTTATTGTGACTGGATTATTTCACTTAGTGTAATGTCCTCCAGGTTCATCTGGGTTGTAGCACATGACAGGATCTCCTTCTTTTGAAGGGTAAATAATATTTTATGAATGTGCCACATTTGCTTTGTCCATCTGTCAGTGGACACTTAGGTTTCTTGGTTATTGGAATAATGTTGCTTTGAACATGGGTATACAAGTGTCTCTTCAAGGTCCTTTCTCAATTCTTTTGGTTATACACCCAGAAATGAGATTACTTGACCATATGGTTGTTCTGTCTTTAATGTTTTAAGGGCCCTTCATACTGTTTTTCATAGAGCGATTCACTCCTTTTTATTTCTGAGTGGTATTGCATTGTACAAATGTACCACATTTTGTTTATACATTTACCATCTGAAGGACATTTGGGTTTGTTCCAGTTTTAGGCAGCTACTTACATGTAATTATAACTGCCTTAACATTTGCTTAAAGGTTTTTGTGTGAACATAATTTTTATTTCTTTTGGGTAAATATCTAGAAGTAGGATTACTGGGTGGTAAGATAAGTGTTATATTTAACTTCATGAGGAGCTGCCACCTGTTTTTCCACACAGGCTGTATCATTTCATATTCTTACCAGGAATATATAAGTTTCAGCTCAGCATTCTTCCCAGCACTTGCCATTGTCAGTTTTGGGGATTTCAGCTATTCAAATAGATCATAGTGGTGTCTCAATTTCTTCTTCATCTGCATTTGCCTAATGGCTAATGATATTGAGCATCTTTTCATGTACTTCTTTGACATTCTTCTGCCTCCATTAGTGAAATTCCTACTCAAAACTTTTGCCCATTTGTTTAAGTTTTAGAATTTATTTTCTGGTTGTTGTTTTTTTTTTAATTGGGTTACTTTTTATTTTTGAATGAAGGGCCCAGTGCATGAATTCATGCATCTTGAAAGGAACTGTGGGCCATGAGGCTGTGGTAGGCACAGGCGCAGGTCTTGACCCATCCTTCATGCCCCTGCACAACCCTTCCTGCTGTGGCCCAAGTCCTCTGTCTGTTGGCACTGCTTGCACCCACTGATGGCACAGAGCAATTGGGGCCAGTGCAAGCAGTGGCTGCTGCCCTGATCGCCTCTCAGGAACAGAGGGAGGTGAAGAAGCCCTCAGGGGTAATCAGGGCCATCAGCTGCAGCTCACACCTGCTGATGGCGCTGAGCAATTGGGACCAGCACCGGGTACCAGCAGTGGGTGCAAGCAGGGCTGGTGCCAGCAGCAAGTGCAAGTGCTGGGCGGGACCACAGCATGGGAACAAAGAATTTTCAGTAACCACCAGAGGTTACTGAAACAGCAACTGTTTCAGTAACCTCTGGTGGTGCCCTCCTTGGTCTGGTGCCCCACTCACCTGCTCCAGCATCCCACCACAGCTGATGCCTGCCATGTTCCCTGCACACCCCCTGATGGCTGGTGCACATCATAGCTGCTGGTTATTTGGTTGTTCCAGTTCTGCCGTTCAGCCTAATTGCTAATTAGTAATTAGCCTTTTATTATACAGGATTATTGAGATATATATTTTTTTCTAGCATGTAGCTTTCCTTTTCATTATTTTACTATCTTTTAAAGAGTAGAAGTTTATATTTTATTAAAGAGTTATCAATTTACCCATTTTTTTTGTTGTTGTTGTGGTTTTTCACCAATTAAATTGTATCTCAATTGACTTACTCTTGAACACACACATTTGGCTCTCCCCATACCTTACTTACCTCAGCAGGGACCTTTTTCTATAATTTTTTGCAACTTATAACAATCCCTCACATCTAATAACTGCTTTGATCTTTACTGATTTGATGAAGTTGGACAGAGATTCTTCAGATGAGCTCACTTCTGGTGCTCAGATGTTCCAAGTGGCTTGACTGTTCACACAGGCAGTGTGAATGATAGAGCTTTCCTGTCTTAAAACTAAAACTGACTTGTTCCCATCACTCCTAGTGCATACTCACTTACACCTCCCTCTCCCTCTCTCTCTCTCTCTGTCTCCCGTCCCCCCATCTTCACTCTTGGTCAACATCATGCTCCTTCTTCACTGCCCCTCCCCTCATCACCCTGTCAGTCCAAAGCTATCAGCGGGGAGGGCTTTGCCTAGCAACTGCTGTTCTCTCTCCTCTCATGATCTATGAGTCCTCCAGCTCTCCTCTGAATCCAAATTATTGCTCAGAAATTTACCAACTCTCTACCCTTTGTGAATTTGCCTTCAGACAAACCTATAGCCTAAGCCAGTGGTCAGCAAACTCATTAGTCAACAGAGCGTGTGTGACTCACGAGCCACAGTTTGCCGACCACTGACCTAGGCTGTTGGTTAGGGAGACCTTATCATAGGCAAGTAATCAGCCTCTCAGAACTTTAGTTTCCTCACCCTTAAAGCACCTTTAACCCTGGCCGGTATGGCTCAGTTGGTTGCGTTTGTTCCAGTTTTAGGCAGTTACTTACAACTGGTGCATCAAGAGCCTTGGGGGCTGGATTCCAGTCAGGGCACATGCTTGGGTTGTGGGTTCCACCTCCAGCAGGGGGCATGAAGGAGACAGCCAGTCAGTGTTTCACTTTAACATCGATGTTGTTTCTCTCCCTCTCCCTTCGTCTGTCTCTAAATAATACAAACTTTCTTCTTTTAAAAAAAAATGCATCAATAAAATCAACTATATTACAGGTTTATAAAAGAGTTATTACAAGGTTAAGATAATCATTTTTAATATATTTATTGATTTTTTTTTACAGAGAGGAAGGGAGAGGAACACAGAGTTAGAAACATAGAGGAGAGAGAAACATTGATTAGCTGCCTCCTGCACACCCCCTACTGGGGATGTGCCCACAACCGAGGTACATGCCCTTGACCGGAATCGAATCTGGGACTCTTCAGTCCGCAGGCTGACGCTCTTTCCACTGAGCCAAACCAGTTAGGGCAAGATAATTATTATTTTTTTAAGGCATGATGCCCATGCCCAGCTCATTATATAACACACACCATATCCCACCACCCTGATTTAGAAGTTCAGTCTCATAGGCTTCCGTGTTGCAGTATGCAGTAGTATCCCTTATCTGTTCTTGTTCAGAAAACTGGTCTCTACCTTATCAGTGTCTCCTATTTGTCTAAAGCATAGTGTTTACAGGATGCAATTTCTGGAGCTCAACTCGAGTCATGTCCCATCAGTTTCACTTTCCCCATTCAAAAACCCCACAGCATGGTCCCCTTTCAGCTTTACCTGTCCCTCCTCCCTTAGTCCACACACCCAGCAGTGACTATGACATTTATACCTCAGCGAAAACACATGTGTGCTCTCACCCCTTGGCTCACTCCCACAGGGAACACTCTCTGCCCTCCCATTACATGTACCTGTAAAACACATCTCCCTTGCTTTCAACACCCACTTTACTATCACTTTCTTCCTGAGGCCTCTCTCAGTGACCCACTGCTATCTAACTTTGTACCTCTTTTCTATTATTGCTCCATTGTTACATTTTATTATTCTACATGATAGTTAATTGCATAATATTTTTTAATATATTTTATTGATTTTTTTTTTACAGAGAGGAAGGGAGAAAGATAGTTAGAAACATCAATGAGAGAGAATCATCGACCAGCTGCCTCCTGCACACCCCCTACTGGGGATGTGCCCACAACCAAGGTATATGCCCTTGACTGGAATGGAACGTGGGACATTTCAGTCCGCAGGCCGACGCTCTATCCACTGAGCCAAACCAGTTTTGGCAATTGCCTAATATTCTTAACCCTGTTTAATCAGCCTTGGGGCTTATCCAGTAACTTGGGGAGTTACCTACTTATGCACCTCAGGAGTCAGTAGATACTTGTTTAATTGATTTATATTTTAATGCAAACTTTGGAACGTGAAGGTTAACACAATTAAGTTGTCAGAAAGAACTAAGGTTTGCAGGCTTTGAAAACTTTGATGTTGAAAGGCTGCAGAAGACAGCAAAGTTCCCAGCTGGGAAGGAGTTTGTTTTCTCTGTTTGGATTAAGGCTGTCAGTGGCCGTTAAGGTTCTTGCAAAAGAGCCATTAATGGAGATTTGTATCAGCAACTAATGTATCTACCTGGTTTCTTTCTTTTGGCCGTGTTCAAAGGCATGTTTTATTCTCTTTCTTGCAGAATGCTATGAGCTACACTTGCTTCTCAATGTTCTGTTCTCCTAGTCTGCCTGTCCTGTCTGTATTCTCCTTCTCTCAGCTTCTTTATCCTCAGAGCCTCATTCTCTCCGCATGTGCCTCTTGGTCTGTGGAGTGTCCAGGAAGTGTTGCTAAGCACTGATTTCCTGGGTCGCCTGCCCAGAGGTGACCTACACATGCTGACTTACTGTCAGGTGTCACTCTCACCTTGGCACATGTCCAGGAGGAGGTAACTGTATGACCTGAGGTATTATTCCAAGTATAGTGCTTTAAATCTGCCTGCTTTAAATCAAGAAATTGCATACTTAGTCAAGTTCAGTCGGCCACTCAAGATCCAAGGGCCAAGAACTTTTAGATATTTATCCCAACATGAATTAAGAATTTTAGCAAATCTCTTAACCTCTCCATGTCCCTGCAATCTCCCTATAAAGTATTGATAGAACTGTTTTTATTAATCTACTCTTTGAACATTTCAAGTTACAAATATCTTATTGAAATTAGCTTTCAATAGCCTTGTTGCCTAGCAGTTTTTTTTACTTGTGATTTTTAATATGGATTTTTACTTAGGTCTTCTCTTTTAACATTAAATTTTAGGTATGGTTACATTCTTGACTGTTTACATTCACTTGAAAATCCCACAAATTTAACTTTTCTTTTTTACTTTTTTTCTTTTACTAAAAAGGCTTACTTTTCTTCTTTTACTAGTAATCTAAAAGTGTACTGAAGCCATTAAAAAGAGGATAGAAACTTTGAATGTGCTGCTTTTACAAGAGAGAACTTAGAAAGCCTACTTTACTAACTACAGATGAAATCTTAATCCCCATGTGGACTTCAGATATTCTTTTTGAAAACTTCATATTTACTTGTACCTAAACTTTATCCAATTCTGGTTTAAACAAATCCTGAAATGTATAGCTTACTACTTGCCTTTAAGAAAATGTTCGCCCCAAACAGCATGTGCATTGAGTTCACTAAACCGAGTTTCGTTATCAAGACCTACTGATTGCCTTTCATATTTATGTGGTCACACTTCTCACCTGGATTCTCTCTCCCATGGTCTGCCTAGTGGTCCTTCGGTGTGCTCCTCTGGGAACTGATGACAAGGGGGGCACCTCCCTATCCTGATGTCAACACCTTCGATATAACGGTTTACTTGCTGCAAGGCAGAAGGCTCTTACAACCCGAATACTGCCCCGATGCCTTGTGAGTAGGAATTTCAGGAGCATCTTCTGTAGCTCTTATACTCTTTGCTTTTGCAGAAATGCTTATCCTTGGCGTGTCTCTCACTGCACTTCTTCCTTCCTGAAACAGGTATGAAGTGATGCTAAAGTGCTGGCATCCCAAAGCTGAAATGCGCCCGACCTTTTCTGAACTGGTCTCCAGGATATCGGCCATCTTCTCTACGTTCATCGGGGAGCACTATGTCCATGTGAATGCTACTTACGTGAATATCAAAAGTGTTTCTCCATACCCTTCCCTGTTGTCATCTCAAGATAAAGTTGATGGCGAGGGAGGCACCTGATAGATGAATACGCCATCAGCCCCCTTCTGATAAACATCATAGAACTGTTCAAGCAACAGTCCACACGATGAGCAATGTTTTTTTCACTGCCTGCGCATTGAAAGGCCACCAGATATTTTTTGCTTTTGCCAAAATTGTGCTACTCTAGGACCTTCTATTGTGCTCTTAAATGACTGGATTCTGAGGAATTTGTCACCTGACAAAGCATCAGAGCCAGAAGCTTGGTCCCATAGGCCAGTGACCAATGGCAACCCTGCAGCTTTGATGACGCTCCTGTTGCATTCAGGCCAAAGCCTGAATTCTAAGTTGGAATTTAAAAAATCAGGATCCGACCTGATTTCATATGGGGAATGGAGGCGATCGGTTTTGAGGCCTTCTGGACCACTGAAAATTCAGAAGTGGGGATGCCCAGGTAGCTGGGGACAGGCCACTCATTTAAAATTTCAAAGAGAGTTCATGTGTTATATAGTCACTGACATGTGTTATTATTGATGTTGGGCAAACATTCCCTTCTACATTTTTGATACACATTCCTTTTGTTGAAGAAATGTCCATAAGCAATGCAGGACACAAAATGTATTGTATATTTTGTGGGACCACTCTGTATTGTATATACATAGTTGATGGCATTAAGAAGGTTTTCATAAAATTGTTTAATATTAATGAAATATTTGTTATTTAAAAATCAGCTGCTTAAAAAAATCAACTGTTTGAAAATGATACTGTTCTGATGGAATGAATGTAGACATTTAGATGTTTCGCCTGTGATTTTTTTTTAATGCCAACTGGAAGTAGAGGAAGTACTTTGTGATAACTTAGCATGTTTTTAAAGCAAGATACATCTGTCTAAAAGGTTTATTGGTTCCAATCTGCCTCATATCTAAGGCAAAAAATGACCAATAGACTGGAAATATTAGCCTCGTTTTCAAGTGGCAGCTTCTATCCCACAAACACATAGACACAATAAAACTTTGGGGAAGTCCAGTTTTTGCATTAGGACATGTTCTGTGTTAAGCAAAGAGTATTTTAGGGGGGGAAAAGGGGGTCAGTTGTAAGTCCTGGCTATTTCACCTGGATAAGAGTTCTCTGGTAGGATTTTTGTGCTGTTTTGTTTTGTGAGATTTTGTGCTTACTACTGTATAGTGCATATGGCACAGGATACTCTAACTGGTCTTCTCTGTGTAAACATTTTAAATATTCTATTTTTATAGAAATGTTTATTTTAATGACATAAGAAAACTTTCGTTAGGCCACAAAAATACTGCACTGTGAACATTTCAGAAAAGGCATGTCAGGCTTGGATTAATAGCGGCGTGGTTTTAAATGGCTGTAAGCAATGATAACGAAATGTGCTGATTGCCAGTATGCCCCACCCTCATTACATCACTCAGCAAGCTTTGAAGAGGGTGTTACACTGATCCCAATAGTAGAGTTGAGCTGTTGTTGCAAGAGAATGATTACAACCAAAAGCTCATTGATGATGGAACTCACCATAAGACCCAAGGAACTGTACTGCAGAGATATTTCAACTCAAATATTACTATTTTAAAAGTGTCCAGAGTGACACTGGTTCACAGAATATTGTAAACTTACTTTGTGGAAAGAAATATCTCTCCCAATGTCAAGAAAAGGAATGCATCAAGAACACACAGAACTTGTGGAAACAACAACCCATCACCAAGTCTACACACCGTCTATGCTTGAGAAAACCGTAATGTGAAAACCGTGTGTGCTATTTACAAACGTGTCCTTCAATTAATGTGTTTGGACAGATTGTGGGAGGGATTCTAAGAATTAGATACTTGTCACTGCCTATACCTGCAGTTGAGCTGATGGTACTTTGTATGTTAATAGTTATTGTTCTGATAACTCATACAATTGAAAATAAAGCGGTGTATCTATCACCTTGTACACTGAGATTTGCTTATTGCTATGCATGCTTGATTACCTACATTTACATAATGGCAGGAAACCTACAATTGATTTCACCTGGCTGCATCAAGCGCCTCCGTGTGAGAGCCTTAATCAAGTTAATGCATGGGCAACTGAAAGGAATTTGCATTTCTGAGTCTCAGGGGTCTCTGCCAGTTAAGGGGGCTTTGCCCTGAGTTGACAGATTACCTAGTTCCTCTGACACATTTTGAACTGCTAGGGCACGCTGCTCCTACTTGAGCATGATGCCCTTCTCCAGCAGCGTGCATTTTGGACCACAAGGTGTGACGGGGGAGCTGCCACCCCGCAGTTGGCCCAGAGATACCTAGCTGGGAGTTGGAGGAAAGAGGCCTTCTTATCCACTCAGGGTCCCACCGTTCAGAAGCCCCAGTTACCAGAAAACTACCCCAGGTCATCAAAGCGAGTATTCTTGTAATGGTAAGGGTGACATTTCACTCCTCTAAGAATCATGGAGCAACTTGGAGCAACCTGATAAAAAAATTTTTTTGTAAGGCCCAAGTTTAAACCAGTGCCTATAAAATACAGTGGGGGTTGATTCTTTACTGAGAGGGAAGTCCGTCCTTATACACAGCCACCTCCCTCCCAGAAAGAGGTGCACGTTCATAGGAAGGTCCATCTGACTCCATGGCCCTGGAGGACAAGGATTTTTATTGTCTTTATTTATACCCCCTAGTATCTGGCACTTAATAGATTCTCAAATCATTGCGGAACTGAAACAGGATTTCCTTATCCTCAATCAATCACTTTAACCCACCATGGATACAGTTATTACCTGTAACTCCCATGATGTTTGGTGAACACTGACATGGGGGGTGGGGAGAGGCACCTATCTGGGGAGAGAGCGGTAAAAGGATAACTCTGCAAAGTTTATTTGATGCTCTAAATTATTAATCACTACAGGGTTTCTTTACCTCACAATGTAGGCCTCAATTATACTTTTGTTCTCGGACCTACACAACAGATGGATCTCTTAAAGAAATATGGGGAAGTGATATAAAGCTTGTCAAACACATCAAATGTTTGAATGTTTGAATACTGACATCTATTACTAATCTACCTGATTTAGTTCAGGAACTAACTTCGTACTATGTAAAAGAGGTGGATTAGTGTTTCATTTAATTCAACTAATGTTTATTGAACATCTTCATATGGTAGGCATTGTGCTGGACAATGGGATTTAAGAATAAACTGTGCCTCCCATCCCAAGGAATGTAATGAAAAGACGAAATTAGGCAACTAGTGGATATTAGGGTTATACACTTCTTTGATCTGTAAACTACCTTGAAGAGGCATCACAGGTTATAATTGGAAGTTTGTACCTTTGCTTCCACACACCCCCCTTCTAGTTCCCTGTCACTGGCTACGGCCAATCTGATCTATGTATCTAGAGGCTAGGTTTGAGGTTTGCTTCTTCGTTTATTTTTTGTTTTGTTTTTAATCCTTCTTCCAAAGTGAAGCCTCTTAGACAAATAGATCAAGCTCTGATTTACCTTGAGCAAAATATTGAACCTCTCTCAACTTAAGTCTCTTTGAATGTTAAGTAGGTTAGACCTACTTCCCACAAAAAAGTCATTTGAGGACTAAGAAACAGTGTAGAAAGGCACACCATAGTTGCTCAATAGTTGGGATATTATTATTATCTTCAGTCTTAGACAATAAAAGCCCAGGCAAAGGTAGCCAGCCAGTGATTGATTGAAAGGGAAATTAAGTCTGAAAGGGACCTTATAGATGTTTAAATCCAAATTCTTACCCCATCCCTCACCTCATCCCTGCTTTCTACTACAGACAGAGCTGTGAGCCCACCTCATCCTTGAGAACTGACATGCAGTGCAGGAGGAGAAGGGTGACTCAAGGATGGCAAGGCTGTGCTCCTGCTCAGCGGGAGACCTGAAGAAAACAGCCATCCCCTTTTCTCTTTTCAAACTCCCTGCTATGTCTTCAATCACCTTTCCAATGACTAGTTTATTTTTTTTTTCTTGTTTAGCCTTCAGACCTAAAATATACAGCAGACATGGAGAACGATCTGTCTGAGTTAATGGAAAGTCGCACAAAGACAAAATGATAGGAGACAAAGATCCTTGCTAGTTATGTTCCTTGTTTTGCTCAAATGGATGGTTAATAATGATTCAGACTCAGGAAAAAGTAGACTAAGTACAATGTTGTTCCGGTTATATGGTGTGTATTTGGAAGATAAGGAATACTGCATTCGTATTGTAACCCATCTGGATGACTAGACATGCCCACAATTCACTCTTGTGGTGCTTGAGACAATTTCAGAGGATAGGTGTGCTGACATTATTCCCCAAAAGAAGAAATGATGATTGCTTTCAACGCCATGAAATGTTCTTCCTTTTCATATTTAACATTTTTCTTCAGGACTATTTTAATTCCCTATTTATCAAAAATTGGAAATAGCTTCGGTCATAAACCAGTGAAATATTTCAGTGGGTGATTTGGAGGTAATAAAGCAGAGGCCTGCCCAAACTGTCCTTTGTTGTAAATTACACCAGGGATCTAGATTACGTCAGCCAGAGGTATTGATCACGATGCTGAGAGGTTTATAACCACTATTGACTTACCATGTGACCCCGGAGCAGATATCTAGGAAAATTGCAAAAGCATGTCGATGGCAATAAAAAAACCATCATTAATTGGACCATGTTAGCTTCAAGACAAACATTTAACAAATACTGGAAACAAAAGCAACTTCCGACTTCTCCCTTTTCTCCATTGCATGCTTCTGAGCTATTCAGATGAATGTTTTACTTCTTATCAATAAAAAGTGTAGGCTACAAAAAAAAAAAAACTAACATGAATTAGTTAATTAGTCCCATATAAAATTAACATTCAAACTTCCAAATTGCTCCTAATCCTTTTTGTTTGTTCGTTTGGTTTAATGAACAATTCGATCCCCATCTAGACCAATTTAGAATAGGGGTCAGGTCCTATTCTTCTGGTTTGGCGTTCTGAAAATCATATAGCATTTAAAAAGCAAAGCTGAAATGAAAATAACCATATTTAGGGTGCAAAACAGAAATGTTTAAGGA